GAGTCAGAAGCAGGTGGGGAACTTTCCCAATCACATATTCTACAAATTTGGTGGTAAAGGGATTTTGTAAATATATCAGTGGAAAAAGGTTTAAAAGTTATGGGAGAAAAGATTAGATTAAAATAAGTTAGGAGGATTAGGGTTGAAGGAACTCTGAGACAGTAAGCTAAGTTTCAAAGTTAGTAGTAAGACAGAGAGAGAAGTGGTGAATGACATTTTTAGAAGTTTAGTGGGAAGATATGGTAGGAGGTTAGATCTGTTGGGAGCAGATGCATTGAGAAAGTATGTGTTGCTGAATGATAATAGAAGATTGAGGGTGATTGAGTATCTATAGTTACAGTTCCCAGCAGGGAGATCAAGGTAATTATGGGTGTATTTTGTGTAATCAAAGGTTTGAAAGTCAGGGATTTAGAGAAAGGACTGAGATTTGGGGAAAAAGTGACACTAGTGGTGATAGATGGAAGTACAAGTAAAGAGTTCAAAGTCTTAGGGGAAAACTCGGGAAATTAGAAGTAACAACAATAAGGACATTAACACTTCAGTCTATTATAACAACAGTGAGAAGCAATTTAACTCTTTCAACATTGATAGTTATTAAAGTCATAAATATATCGCATTTGATTATAAGGGAACCAATACAGCACCAATGTTAGGGAAGAATACTTATTAGGGTTAGGATGGGGACGTTCCTCCCACATGGAGAGATAATTATGGAGAATAAGTATTGTTATCAGGACCAGGAGTAGAAGCGGTTGCACCTAGTCAAAGGAGGTATAGTTTGGAAGAGGGTTAGGAGTGACTGTTCACTTATGTTGCGTAGTGTTACAGAGAAAGGTCAGGGAGAATATATGTGTACTTATCTAGTGCAAGCATTAGAAGTTGTTCCGGTTAGGAATTATTGGTTAAAGGGCTATGTAATTCATAAAGTAACGCTTATAATGGAAGAGTTAAGGTTTGTAGCCTCCACAGTCACCAAAGGAGTTCAGGAAGAGTAGATTACAGTAGTCACTCCAACAGTAGATAATACACAGAGGATAATGGGAACTTTTGCACTAGAAGTAATTAGGGTTGATACAGCAATTAAGTCAACTACTTTAATGATAACTTTGGAAGGGATTAATGATACGATGGCAATAGCAAAGGTAGGGAGACATCGACAACAACTTTTCTGAAATTAAATGGGGAATTTTGGACTCATGGGTTATGTTACGGATGGAGAGTGCTGTCAAGGATAGTACGAATAGGGTTAAAATAGGAGAGCAGATAGTAGTAGAGAGAATATAGATTCATCATGGAGGACAGGATGAGATCTTTGATTTTAATGACAGACAGGGAGAGGTATCTGATCAGTACCGCTCGTTCTTCTGTTGTGGAAATTAGAGATAGATTAACTCATTCTGTAAGATCAGTGAGGAATCTTGAGTGTCCATGTCTGTTGAGGATTCCAGCACCAGACATGTTAGACGGTCGCGCGGCCTCTTTCAGGTATGGTTCAGTCTTATGCTTTGTCATGACTGTGGTGTCAGCAACAGTCATTGACAGATAAAATAATGTCGTTGTCAGAACAGTGGTTTAAGCCTAGGGGTAGGTGGAATTGGGTTAAGTGAATTAATTTGGGTGCATTTGTTAGATGGAAAGGAAATCAGGTAACAACGGAACCCTGAAGTATTCAGGTGAAACATTGAGGGCTAAAAGTTGTTTTTGTTCTAATAAAACATATGAGGTAAAGGGTATGTTTATGGGAATATCAGATTGTGATGATTATATGATGACTTTGGATAAGCATGACCTTAAGGGTAGTAATGAGAAATATAAGGTTACTTTTTAATATACCAGGTAGTAAGAAGAGCAGGACTTTGATGGTTAAAAGATTAGCTTTTGACTGACAATGTGACTATTGGGAATTTTAGAGATATTTGGAGGGTTTGGGGTGATAAAGCATCTATATTCTTACATTATGGATGGACAGGATTTTGTTACATGTCAACGTTGAAGCTTCCATATGAGGCTTTTACTATTAAAAGAGGAGTAGCACTGAACACAGATCAATCTGAAACTAGAGTTCAAAATAGGATGAAAAGGGACATGTCATAGGCTTCAAGCCTATCATTGAAGGATAAGTCTAAGGGAGAAGGGGGGACTTTATTCATGGTATGGTGTAACATTTGGGAAGATCATATTGATAAATATTAGTTATACTTTGAGTCCAGATAGTTCAGATAATATCACTGGGGTTATAGATGCATTATAAGGGATGTGTTTGGGAGATCTGAGAGGATTTGGTTGCAAGATCAATTAGGCCAGTAGGGGCAGTGATGGGTCAGATTTTAGTTTCAGCTTTGATAACACTGTGTGATGTTTGTAATTTGTTACTGACCTTTGAGAAAGTTATGATATTGAGATAGGTTGGAGAGTGATGCCTGGAGACAACACTCAGATGCCGGTGTTGACTGTTCCTGATCTGGATAAAGATGGACAAGTGGAACTGATGGATAAATATCATTTTGATTATTTGATGATTTTTCAAAAAAAAAAAAAAAAAAATCTTTTTTTTTTTCTCAATATTGGGGTGATGTTGGTATGATTTATGAATCAAATGGGGGAATAGGTTTATGTGATTCATACATCATTTATATATCATTTTTTAAATTCTTAGGTGAAATTGAGGTTTAATTTGAAAGTGTTTGTTTTGCAAAAGATACTGTTTGGTCGTTTCTTTTCTTTTCATTCCAGAAGCATTTGGGGGAACATGTGACTCAAACAAGGACAATATGAAGGAACATGGGAAGGGACAATATGACTGGAGGAGATGAAACAAGGAGGGTGTGGCTGATTCCATCATCAACAAGTCCATTGGAAGAGGAGACTACAGGGAGATGAAGTGTAGTGGACTACATTCCAGTGTCTGCAATGAAATATGGACATGTGTAATACATAATTGTGTCATATTCTTAGGGATTAATTTTGTAGAATGATGTTTGATGTTATTGAATACATGTGAGGATCTTAGATGTTTTTGTTTATTTCGTGAATGTTTAGGGACAGAAGGTCTAGGCAGGGAGAGTTCCACTTGTACGGTCCAATGGGTTGACCAGCCTTGCAAGTGGATGTTTATGGATAGGATTTTGTTTGCAGGGGCTTACATGTGTATTTAATTGCATCATAGTTTCAAATGCATTTACATGGTTAATGAGGTTATCTGGAGTACCGACGGTGGTTGCCTGGGGCAGAGGGACCGTGAGAGAATTTTACTGTCTTGATTGATATGGATGGAAGGTTGCCGGACAGTTTTTCGCTCTTACACTCCATAGAGATTTGTTCATATTTCATAGTAATGTATTCACACTTCATAAACAGTTATTTCATAAGAAAGGTATTTACACTCTAGAGAAGAATGTTTTTGGTTTAATGTTAAAGATACTCAATAAGATAAATTGTTACTACTCATAATCCTATTCTGTTTGTTTTCGAGACGTTTAGTTCGTCTCGAAGGGGGGAATATAGTATCTGAAGATTATGCCTTTGTTAAATGTTTTTCATGAAGAAATGGAATGTTGGTTGTGTTAGTAGCAAGAGGGAATGTTTTGGGTGTAACGCCACATCCAGCAGACCGGAAGTGTCTTGGAGACTGGGGATTGGCCAGAAGAGGTCAGCTTCGTTGTTTATAAATAGGGGGGTTAAACGAAGAAGAAGTCAGAACGGCCATGGCAATCGGGGGAGCCGTTCTCCGGGTGTCATGTCACCTGTCATTTATGCTGTAACCTCGTGATTTTAATAAAAGCCTCTAACACCATGCAGCATAAAACGGACTCTTTGTTGACAGCAATAATGGCCACCACTCATCAGATACGACAATAGCCTAGTGAGTCTAGCTAGCTAGCTAACGGTGAGTAGCCTACACAGCAATAGCTACTGTTTACTGCACATGGTATCAGTGCGAAGTGACACGTGTCAGAACCCACCAATTATTATGAAATTGATAAGCTGATTGTTATTTTAAATGTGTTTTTGTTTTTTCCCTGTAAATAATAAAGCATAATTCAAATTCATTACATAGGCCTAAATGAAATAGATTTAATGTACAGGACTAGATTTTATGTAATATGTTCTTGAGTGTCCTGAAAGGAATCTGCCAAATAAAATGTATTATTATTGTCAATATATACTATATATCCCTTTTGTTTTCCCCACCCACTCCCTACTGCTTGCTATGAATTTTACCTGACTGTAAATGCATGTTTAGGCCAGTGCTTGTCTTGGTCTGAAATAGGTGCAGGAACTCAATACTTTTTTAGATAATATTCTACAGGAGGTGCAGGAACATGCCTTTACTCAATTCTGTGAGCTCCTTCCCAAGTCAAGTACTGTGCTTAGGTAAAAAGACAACTAATTACCCATTTAAACCTAACCCTAACCACACTGCTAACCTTAAAGACGAAAAAGCTCATTTTTGTTTTAAGGAATTTTTACAAAAACCCATTTTGACTTTGTGGCTGTAATATCTAGTGGAAACCATTCCTGGGTGCAAACAGGTGAAAAAGAGAGGAAGATGTTTGGTGTCATGAAGAGCATGGAACAGTCATGCTGATGGAGGTATTAGAAAATGGTGCATGCAGTATTGGTCAATTTTCAGAGCTCTCCCTGATGTGGTGCTGAAATCCTTCGGTTGGTTTTGATATCAATTTGAGACAGCATTATTACCATACACTGAAATCATCCCAGCTTACATTATGTCAGAGCAGGTTATCCCCCCCACCCCCACTCACATAAAATGCCCCCTTTCATCCATCCATTCAAGACTTCTAGTTATTTGTATCCTACCAGTGGCAGTAAAAAAATGGATATTCCTACAAATAACTACAGATGAAAGTGACCGCTTAAAGAAATAAACATCAATAATACAGTTAGCTAGTTTATTTGTTGACCATTTTTTGTAGTTACATGTTTGAGGACAGTAAAATGTGTAGAGAGTAAGGAAACACAAATAAGTGTCTGTCTTAAAAAAAAAAGACAAAAAGTGTAGATCCGTTTCCTTCAAGATGTGAGCAAGGGGAAGTCATGAGGACATGAGAGGATACAACATGGCGATGATGGTAGAACTCTGTAGGGCAGATATGGGCCCTGCTTAAAAACGGTTCAAATGCTTCCTTCTTTCCTCCCATTCTTGGTGTTCTCTCTGATCTAACATACTTGGATAGAATAAAAGCAATGGTTCCACTTCATAGCTTTCACCAATCCAGACATGTCAGATTAGCGATTACTTTGAGGGGAAGGAAGTAAGGATACATTTTCAAAGTATTCAAACAGGGCCAGTGTACTGCCAAGCAGGACATATTTTTTTAGTTGTGCTGAAGCATGGCATGGGCAGTGTATCTCTTGGGTAAAGCTCGACTTAGGCTAGGATTGGAGTCCCATCTGCTGACACCATATTTTTTTTTAGGCCATCAGTGGAGCATCTACATGGCCAGATCACATCTTCCAGTTGAGCTGGCTGGATGACTTTACACACCCTGCAGCGTCCAGTTTCCGACCACTGTTGCACATTTTCGCCAAGTTCTGTCGATTGCAGAGAAGATGCCAGTCAGTTAAAAGCAAATGACGATAAGACTGGAACATTATTGGAAATTCCACATTGTTACGCTTACATTAGCAGCCCTGGCAATGCTGTTGGGGGACTGTAAGGCAGCGAGCTCGTTGAGGATCCTCTTCAGATCGTTATTGTCAGGAGGTGCTGAAAGGAGATAGAGAGGAAGACAAAATGAAAGTTGTTGCAATTCTTTTTCTTATTTAAAAAAAAATAAACACTTGGTATTATGGCAGGTATGAGGTGTAAATATGCATAGCGTGTGTGCGTTTATGTACCTGGCACAGGTGACTGTTGCTGAGACTGAAGCTTTAGGTATGAATGTTCCAGCAGCTCCGCAATGGAAATCCGCTCTCTTGGGTTTCGTACCAAGCACCTCTGGTGGTAGAAAAATATATATACCATCAGATCCCATTTATCCACATCATTCACACTAAATCAAAACTCAACCAAAAAGCCAATACATAGCAGAATGAAAGGAATCACTCACCTTCAACACATCTAGCAGATCCTTCTCTGCAATGTCAGGGAACTCTATCTCATGGGACGGGTCAATGATGGCATGTAGCTTGGTGATCTGGTTGGTGATGGTCTGGAATGGAGTCTTCCCATAGGTCATGCAGTACATGATGCAACCAAGGGACCACACATCACCTTTAGTACTAATCTATGAATCAAATCAACAAAAATATTTATTATAAATCATTACACATGCATAATCTTCCAACATTGATATAAATGAGTCCATATGGAATATGCATGTATTAAAAATACATTGTTTTGGATAAGAAGGAAGGGACATCAGCTCACCTTAGAGTTTGCCTTCCCTGGCTGGGATGAAGTGTCTTTGATGGCTTCGGGAGGCATGTAGTTCAAGGTCCCCACCTGTGTTTAGGATTTTTTTCTTGAAGATCAAGATCCTTATTTTGGCAAGCTTCTGGTTATGTATACATACATTATTAACTACAGTTGGAGATGGGGGTTGTGCTCTTACCTGAGAATCTTTCATAATGCTTGTCACATCAGGCTGGATGCGGTTTGCAATGCCGAAGTCGATCAATTTCAGCGAGGCATTCACAATCACAAAATTGGCTGGCTTCAAGTCACTATGGACAATACCTACACAAAAAAAGTAACAGAAAAACGAAAAAGACTTGTTATAGAGACTGCAATGGTTGGGTATGAGGAACTTAGAAAACACAAGGGTGACTGATGAAGAGAGATACAGAGTTCAAGATAGATGGAGAGATAATAACCATGTTTGTGGATGGTCTGGACTGCCTCCAGCATATTCTTCCAGTAGAACTTCCTCTCCAGCGGGTTGACAGTTTTACGGTTCCGTAGCCAGGTGTTGAGGTCCAGGTTACCACATTCCATCAGCATGTAGATGTAGCTGTTGGTTATTTCACTGGAATAAAAGAGAACTCGACTGATAAAAAGCACTGCTCACTGGGAATCACATGACATGTATAGTGGGATAGAACAGAGGACCACAATCGAAATACGTTGTGTTGGGGCCTCCCGAGTGGCGCAGCGGTCTAAGGCACTGCATCGCAGTGTTGAGGAGGCACTACAGCCTGGGGTTCGATCCCAGGCTGTGTCACAGCCGGCCGTGACCGGGAGTCCCATAGGGCGGCACATAATTGGCCCAGCGTCGTCCGGGTTAGGGGAGGGTTTGGCCGGGGGGCATTCCTTGGCTCATCGCGCTCTAGCCACTCCTTGTGGTGGGCCGGGCGCCTGCAAGCTGACCACAGTCGTCAGTTGAACAGTGTTTCCTCCGACACATTGGTGCAGCTGGCTTCCGGGTTAAGCGAGCAGGTGTTAATAAGCAGCGAAGCTTGGCGGGTCACGTTTCGGAGGACGCATGACTCGACCTTCACCTATCCCAAGCCCGTTGGGGAGTTGAGACAAGATCGATGAGACGAGGGGGTAAAAAATATAAAAATACATAACTAAAAGAAGAAAGAAAAAAATATGTTCATATCATTCATATTTTCTTTTAATGTAGGCCATGTGACTATATACGTACCAGTACCACCAGTTTTTGTTATGTTTTGGATGTACAGTATGCATTTATCAAAAAATCTAATTAATTTATTGCTAGACCCTAGCGGAATAAGTCAGAGTAGGGAACACAGAACACTCACTAATCATACAGCTTGATGATCTGATCACTGTACTGCTGCAGGTGATTGAGATGCTCTATCTCATTCTTGTAGCTCTCCACTGTCTGGGCATCAGCCTCCTCCAGGTTCACATACTTCACAGCAAACAGCTGATTCCGTTGGTCCAGAACCTGGTACACCTGAAATGACAGAGAACCTACCATCAAACCAGCTGAAAAAACAGCCAATCGTCCATCAAACCACCTGTTCCCTGGTATCTTACTGTTTCAAACATTTTTTAAATTTAATCATTTTTAGCAGACACTCTTATCCAGAGCGACTGCATAATTTTTTTCTTCTTTTTTTCTTCATACTGGCACCCCGTGGGGGGGTACCATCTTAAATTGTCCAACAAGAAACTCTGTTTTTTGTTTTCCATTGCACAATGTTTTGAGAGCTTTTTTTACATTGTGCCCTAATGAACAAGACAACTAGACCCTACCTTACTGGATCCACCTCGGCCAATCATCTTCAGGACGAGGAACTGTTTGCCCTTTATCATGATGGACTCGTTTGAGAGAGCAGCGACGGAACCCTGAAGTAAGGGACAAGTGCAGAGTCATTCAACCATCAAGTTCACATTTCATTTGACATAGGCCTATAACTTAAACAGCAAACTCACAAATAGAACATAACTAGGGCCATGCGTTTGTTCCTCCTGACCTGACGGCGTTTTGCCTGTTCAGGTCAAGTGATCACGGAAATCCCATGGATGGCGTTTGTGGTTTACCTGGGGGGTCTGTTGGGCATAGGACACCCGGCTGAGGGGGGTGCACAGCTGCTGCTGGGCAGGGCCGGCTTTATGGGCTGCTGAGAGAGGGGCCGCAAATGGGGGGTTCCTCTTGACCACAGGGGTAACGTAACTGTGAGGAGAGAAGGGAATTCAAATGTCAAAGAAAGTCCTGTTTTACATCACTGCTTCCCAACTTTCCTCTTGATTCCAAGACGAAACGCACTCACAAATCTCACTACACCATCTGCAGTGACTGTTACTCACACCACGTCACAGTATGAATGACAGGCTTAACTTTGCATTATGACAGTTCAGATTTAAATATGATCATTTTTCACGAGGTAGTTTTCAAAGTAACTTTAGTTAAACTACACTGCTCAAAAAAATTAAGGGAACACTTAAACAACACAATGTAACTCCAAGTCAATCACACTTCTGTGAAATCAAAATGTCCACTTAGGAAGCAACACTGATTGACAATAAATTCCACATGCTGTTGTGCAAATGGAATAGACAACAGTTGGAAATTATAGGCAATTAGCAAGACACCCCCAATAAAGGACTGGTTTTGCAGGTGGTGACCACAGACCACTTCTCAGTTCCTATGCTTCCTGGCTGATGTTTTGGTCACTTTTGAATGCTGGCGGTGCTTTCACTCTAGTGGTAGCATGAGACGGAGTCTACAACCCACACAAGTGGCTCAGGTAGTGCAGCTCATCCAGGATGGCACATCAATGCGAGCTGTGGCAAGAAGGTTTGCTGTGTCTGTCAGCGTAGTGTCCAGAGCATGGAGGCGCTACCAGGAGACAGGCCAGTACATCAGGAGACTTGGAGGAGGCCGTAGGAGGGCAACAACCCAGCAGCAGGACCGCTACCTCCGCCTTTGTGCAAGGAGGAGCAGGTGGAGCACTGCCAGAGCCCTGCAAAATGACCTCCAGCAGGCCACAAATGTGCATGTGTCTGCTCAAACGGTCAGAAACAGACTCCATGAGGGTGGTATGAGGGCCCGGACGTCCACAGGTGGGGGTTGTGCTTACAGCCCAACACCGTGCAGGACGTTTGGCATTTGCCAGAGAACACCAAGATTGGCAAATTCGCCACTGGCGCCCTGTGCTCTTCACAGATGAAAGCAGGTTCACACTGAGCACGTGACAGACGTGACAGAGTCTGGAGACGCCGTGGAGAACGTTCTGCTGCCTGCAACATCCTCCAGCATGACCGGTTTGGCGGTGGGTCAGTCATGGTGTGGGGTGGCATTTCTTTGGGGGGCCGCACAGCCCTCCATGTGCTCGCCAGAGGTAGCCTGACTGCCATTAGGTACCGAGATGAGATCCTCAGACCCCTTGTGAGACCATATGCTGGTGCGGTTGGCCCTGGGTTCCTCCTAATGCAAGACAATGCTAGACCTCATGTGGCTGGAGTGTGTCAGCAGTTCCTGCAAGAGGAAGGCATTGACGCTATGGACTGGCCCGCCCGTTCCCCAGACCTGAATCCAATTGAGCACATCTGGGACATCATGTCTCGCTCCATCCACCAACGCCACGTTGCACCACAGACTGTCCAGGAGTTGGCGGATGCTTTAGTCCAGGTCTGGGAGGAGATCCCTCAGGAGACCATCCACCACCTCATCAGGAGCATGCCCAGGCGTTGTAGGGAGGTCATACAGGCACGTGGAGGCCACACACACTACTGAGCCTCATTTTGACTTGTTTTAAGGACATTACATCAAAGTTGGATCAGCCTGTAGTGTGGTTTTCCACTTTAATTTTGAGGGTGACTCCAAATCCAGACCGCCATGGGTTGATAAATTTGATTTCCATTGATAATTTTTGTGTGGTTTTGTTGTCAGCACATTCAACTATGTAAAGAAAAAAGTATTTAATAAGATTATTTCATTCATTCAGATCTAGGATGTGTTCTTTTAGTGTTCCCTTTATTTTTTTGAGCAGTGTATATTTTTCTTGAGGGTAGCTTTACTGTAGCTCAACTTCTTCCAGTGCGAAGTAATTGGTAGCTTGATAAACCATATTTTCAGAGTAGCTTCCCCAACACTGACAATACCATTTCCTAATATCTCAAGAGCTGAAATAGAATCATTAGATAATGATTAGGATCATTGTACAAGAGCTTTTATGTCAGATACATGTCCACTCCAGCCCGCTCACCTGTTGGCACAGGGGTCTTTGTAGTTGGGCGTCTGGCAGGCGACGGGTGGATTGAGTCTGGACGGGAGAGGGAGGGATGGGGTGGGCAGAGAGTCCACCAGACGTGGAGTGGGCCTGAAATCAGGAGGGGCGTGCTTCTCCTGATGACGACCACACACACAGTTAAACCCAGAGGTTAAAATTGAAGAATCCAAAAGAAAAACAACAAAAACACAAGTGTTAACCACAGAAATGTGGTTATAACGCAGCCATAAGAACTAACAAACTAAATTGGAGTTTGATGCAAGCACTTTTCATGTTCATAACACAGTAGTAATCCCAAAAATAAAACAGCAAGCCAAACCTCTGGAGACACGACTCGGCTGACGCGGGCTGGTATTTTCCACCCTGAAGATGGCTCCATGCTAGAGGGTTTGGGCTGTGTCTGGCTCAGAGGTAAACGGGCGGGAATCTCCGGCTCCCTCTCTCTACCATAGTTTGACAGACTTAATGACCCGTGGGACTGTGGCTCTGTAAAAAGAAACACACATATAAGGAATCTATTCAACTAAAACTTACATCAGGTTTGCAAGCTTTAAGCTTGAAGCCGTTATCACTTTGTAGTCAGGATGAACTGGGTCATGTTCAATAGGTACCAAACAGAAGAAAACAGACAAACAGGGAGGGACTACATTTTCCATTCCATGCCCTAATGAACACGACCAAGACGTACAGCATAATTGACTAAAAGTAAATGAAACCTACCTGGGAGACTCTCTTGGTCTTCTTCGGAGAGAAACTGGTAATTCCCGGCTTTTAGCTTCTGCATTGCCGTCTCAATTAGTTCAGTGGGCTTTGCGTTCACTTGAAGGGCTTTCTGTAGTATTGAGGTGCCTTTCTTGACCTGACCTTTTGGAAGAATATGAACAAAAATCTCTTTAGTATCTAAATATAAATGTTCAGTATCTAAACTCTATATTATGCAAAATATTTTATGTAAAAAAAAAAAAAATACCTTGAGTGACCTCAAACTGAGCATGTGCTATGTGCACAAAGGCAAAGCCTTTGCAGTTGGATCTCGCAACGATGAAGTTGTCCCGAGCATCATCTGGGTCATCAATGCTACAGAGGACATTTTTAGACAGCCATCAAACCAATTCTAGAACACTGGAAACATATCTGAATATATGCAGGGTTTTTAATACTCCAAAACATCCTGAAGGACACTCACCCTTTGAGTTCAGCAAATCGGACCAGCATCTTGGCATAGCTCTCGTTTTTGCTGTACATTCCCAATGGCAGTCTTGAGAAGATTCTGGAATAGCAGTCCTTCAGCTTTAGGAGAAGGTTGGTGTCTGTCTGAGGATTACCCCTCTTCTCCAGCTTGGTCAGATACATCCGGCAAGCCTCAGGGGAGTTGGAACCGATTATCTGGTTTATATTGTCAGTGGTATCTACCAACAGCAGAGAACATAAACTCGATATGAGTGAGAATTAATTTTTTCACAAGTTTACCATTCCGTTAGTCAGCACCTCCTTGAATATGTGGGTGTGCACTAACTCATGCTTTTTACTAAACAAGCTTTATGCACCGTCAACAACTAGGTAAAAATAGTTTCACTTCAATGTAAAGGTACCTACCTTCCATCCTAGTGGCATCTCTTCTGTCTTGCCTGTGCAGCAGTGTAGTGGTGGAGTCCACCATTCCCATGTCCTCCCATGGGCGTGGCTCAGGGCTAATGATAAGTGTCTGAGAGAGCAAATCAACAATGATATGACTGTCCAATCAACTCCAGTCTTTAAAATAGGATTATGTAAGATATCACTTTACTATGCTCTGCTCTCCATGTTATTTTATATAATTGTAAACAGTTGGGCCGGGCGCTAGAAGATTCTTACACAATCTATAATTACAACTGAAATGTGGGGATTTTCATTCAAACCTTTAGATTGAGGAAGTCCCCATCTTCATCATGCTTCTTGGCTGAGGACAAGGTAAACGTGGCACTTGAACCAGCCGTTTGCCTAAAACAAAGTTCCATTTATCAGTTTAGGCTTTGTAATCCTGTGTTCTGAATGTGTTCCCTTGACATAGGTAAAAAATGCTTACCTGGACAAGCTACTTGGGATGAGAGCCTCCCTCCTCTTCACTTGTCTTCCATCACTGTCATCATCCATTTCTGGGATAGAGCGGTGGACTACAGGCACTCTCCCTGGCTAGAGGGCAGGATAATAAAGAACAGGAGATGATTTAAAACCAGAGAAGTGATGGAAAAACTATGTAAAACTAGGGCTGGGAATTGCCAGGGACCTCACGATATGATATCCTCACGATACTTAGGTACCGATACAATATATATTGCAATTCTCACGATTCTATATGTATTGCAATTAGATACTGTGATTTTATTGCGATTTGATGTTCCAAACATATCGCTCACTATATGTCTGCTGCAGAGACGAGAGAGCCATAATAAAAACGAGTTTTGATCAGTCATGGAAATAAAAGTGCTGACAACATGTTGACTCACTATTTAAAAAGAAGATGGAGAACAAGCTATAGGATGAAAAATACCCAAGTTTTGGCACAGGTACAGCCAACTAGCGCTAGCTAACGCTACCTAGCAAAAAAAACAATTGATACTTTGAGTCAAAGTATCGATACATATCGACCAAAATAATATTGCGATATGTAACTGTTTCAATTTTTTCCCCCCAACACTATTTAAAACTACTACTAATAAAAACTAATGTAGGATCTTTAAAATAAAAAATCAAACTTTACCATGCCAACGGCTCTCTTTCGTTGAGACCCAGACCTCCAAGATGGAACCTCGTCTTCTAGGGGTCCACCTCGTGGTTCCGTTGTTCTAAGAGAATGAGAAGAACAGTGTCAACAATCATTTTTCACGAGACAGAATAGAAGAATGTAAAGCAAAACAAAGACAGAACCTTGGTGTGAGAACTTGGCACTGTAAAAAACTAAACAATTGTATTTTACCCTGAAGAAAAAATACTGGAGAGCTGCAAGTCGCCTGTACCGTCAGAGTTTCTGGAGACTTTGCGAAATTCTGTGCCATTTTTTGCAGAACCATGTGTATTATAAGTTGAGACTGAAAGAAAAATAGTTTTGACAACACATTAAGACAATGAATATACAGTACTAGTACCCTAAAGCAGCATAAAAGTGGTGATTGCATTAAAAAAAATCTAGGGTGAAGAAACATGGTCATGTATTATACTACTTCTTGTCTTTGACGTAAAAAAATCAAGATGGGCTTCCGGTTAATACTGATCTGAAATGGGATTGGAAATTGGACATAAAAACTAACCTGGAATATTTTCCTTATCCTCAGAGGAAAGAAGTTCTGCTTTGCCCAATATCAAGTTCTGCATAGCAGCCTCCAGCAGGTCGCTGGGTTTGGCATTCAGTTCAATGGCCCTCTGAAGTATCCAAGTACTTTTCTTTGTGTTGCCTTTTGAGATGGGATAGCACCAAAAAATATATATAAAAAAATATTTACTGACTAGATACCAATAATACTTTCCTGCAGCAGTATAGTTTCTGAATGTGAGCTTCACAGATTGGACTGATGCATGCATCATTGTCAGGATATAAATAAGATGTTAGAGATTCAATAGTTGCTATGGGTGTGTATTGTATCGGGTGTCTGAGTATTTATCAATATGAAAAAGCTGGTACAAACCATGGAGCTAAAGTTTAGTAAATAACCCAAATTGTGTCGTCTGTGAGTATAAATCATCTACGCCAGTCGAACCAAAGATTGTTGTGCATCTCTCTACCTTGAGAAAGTTCAAACTGAGCGTGTGCAATGTGGACAAAAGCAAAATCCTGGCAGTGTGTAGTCGCAACATTGAAGTTGCCCTCTGCCCCATTGGTGTCTTGGATTCTGAAAGACATTAAAAATACTAATTCGACTGAACTAAACTAAATACCAAAAAGGTGTCTGTTAAAGGGGCAATCTGAGATTGGTACATCCATTTTTGGTAGTATTGAGGTGCCTTTGATTTTTGGAAGAACATAATTTACTGGTATAAATGCCCCATGAGCTTAGTTCAACTGTTGTAATTGATTAGAACCCAACATCTAAACTTATTTTACTTCCATTATTTGTAAACCATGTAATTGTAAACAAACACTGAATAGCTTCAAAACATGGATAAAACTATCATTTTGATCTCATGGATGGTCAGTCCTTGCATCCATGAATTTGAGAGTGGTTACATTTCTCTAGCCTTATCCCTCAGCTGTTAACCAAAAAGTGGCAGGGTGCCACTGTTGTTTTCCCAAATCCCAGATTGCCCCTTTAATATTATTAATACACCCCACACATTGTATTTTTAACTGATGTAGCTAAGTACAGTCAACAGAAGAACATGTTGCAAAACAAGGCTCAACCATCTCATGGAACAGTATGATAATGGTTCACTCACACATTCAGCTCTGCAAATCTGACCAGCATTCTGGCATAGCTCTCATTTTGGCAGTGTTTTCCCAGTGGCATAGTTGAGAATACACGGGTATAGAAGTCTGTAAGCTTTGTGAGATGACTAGGATCCAAGTGAGGGTCTCCTTTCTTCTCCAAGTCCATCAGATATGCGAGACACGTTTCAGGGGAATTTGAGCCAATGGCCTGGTTGATATTATCAGTGTCATCTGCATGAAAGAAACAGTGAGTGACCATTTATTTGAAACTCAGTGGTCTTATATCGGCATATCATTATGTACAATATTTACATTTAAGATTTTAGCAGACGCTCTTATCCAGAGCAACTTACAGTTAATGAGTGCATACATTTTCATACTGGCCCACCGTGGGAAACGAACCCACAACCCTGGCGTTGCAAGCGCCATGCTCTACCAACTGAGCTACAGGGGACTATATGAGGCATGTTGTCTTCGCTATGGAACGAATGAAATGGTGTTATTACCTTCGATTAGATATCTTGTTTTAATTCGGTCGAGCTTCTGACACAACATGGCAAGTTGGTGCTGTCTGTCTGTATGCTCCTCCTCCAACATCTCTGCAAAGAATGTAGCTAACGTTGCCGTCGTTAGCTAATGGATATGTTGAGGCAGCTCCTGATTAAGCCTAGCTAGCTATTCACACATATGACATCTATGCTATAGTGCGATATATATACTTCTGATGTGTGAATCAGCAAGCAGAAAACGGACCCTGATGTAAATAACCAGCTCGCTGGGATATGTGTAGCTAAATTAACGTCCTTAGCTAGCTATCCATCTGCATCTTGTCTAGCCAAAGCAAAGCTAGCTTAGCTAATAACGTTAGCTAGTAAGCTCCCGGTTGTGGCGGAACACACAAACTTGCAAGGAAACAAAGCTATAAAGCAATCCAAATCACAAATTTTTTTTCACCGTACATTAGATTCAAACGCATCTCACCTTTTCTAAAATGTACTTTCAAGTGAAATAATTATACTTCACTACAAAAAACGTCCGTCTATCTGTTTATAACACACTTTCAAATCCACCACTTCCAAGTACTTCGTCAGTTCATTGGTCAGTTTGTATGGTTGACCACGCCCCCAAATATTCGAAAGACTCCGCCCACTTCGCAGAAAATTATTTTTACTTATGCTCCCGCCACCTGACCATCAGTTCAAGGTTCAATTAAAAATCGGGCTGACCTTAATCTAGTTGATGATCCCTGCCATATTGCAATGTGTTAGTGGGCTACGGGATGTCCTAATTATTTGATCATAATAAATTCATAGTTTGCCTGGATGACATTTATGCTTTTTTTAACCAAATACTGTTTTGTTTAACCTATTACATTTCACATAACATCTATTTCAGGGAAGACAAATAAAGCCAAAGTCCTATGATGTGTTCTACCATTAGGGGGCAGAAGACCAATGCCTACCAAAACCCAGAGATGCTGAGTGTGCCTCTTGCCCCGGTTTTGGTTCCACATCGTCTACCCAGTTTCAAGATGGCAGCCATGAGGCTATGAAGAAGCGACAAATGTTTATGGAATAAATAATGAAAACAGATACTAGGTAGCAGCTGTTAGACACATACGATTGTGATATGACTGGTATCATTATTGCAAGTGTGTTGTTTCTAGAGTGAAATTTACAAGGAAAAATACGTTGCATACCGGTATGCTCATTTGCTAAGCTAGCGTTAGCTAGCCAAATAAATGAATTCTGGGGACGGCCACATCTGATTCGCCAGCTGTCAGCTAAGCAAACATATTGATCTGTGCGGTGAGTGTCTATTTTATCTATGAAGACAAAACTGTGGCTACCTGTCTATATCCGTTTCAGTTAAAATAATCTAGCTACCTAGACTTGATTAGAATGCCGCGTTCAAAACAACTGGGAATTCTGAAACCTCCGACTTAAGTGCGTTCAAAACAATTCGGAACTCAGGAAAAAAACGATCTTCGATGGGAAAAATCGATTTGAACGATCTTCCAACTCGGACCTCTTTCTAGACTTTCCGACCTGAAAATTACTGACCTCATGATATTTTAATGAGTTCTCAGTTGTTTTGGATGGGTCATTAGATTATGCAGCAATAGAGCCCACAGTGGTGGTGTCATAATACCCATAAAACCTAGCAGTCAAACAGGGAAATGGTTCCAATCGTTTTTCAACCATTCATTTTTCCCATAGGGGATTTTAGAAACACTTAAAATAAGGGCGGTGTTTCGTGTAGGCTTACCCTGGCGTGACGTTTTGATAACCATTGATATCTCTCTCGGACAAGGTGACTTATCAATACGTTCGACTATTTACTCTCAGATTCGAAAATGCTAAATAGCATCAAAGTAGACGTCATGCAAAACTACAAATCCCTGCAAGCTCCTGCACGTCATTTCTAGCTGACACTTTTGCTAACAGGCATTGTCAATTTTAAACTTGCACAAGACAGTTCACAGAATTGCCCATTTAAAGAAATGTAGCCAATTTATTTATTACTACATTTAGATAACATTACATAGTCAATCCAGAGATGCTTACCTTTGTCTCGATTCGGCAGTCTCGTCCAGATCATCATGGCATTTGTAGTTCTTTATGATAGCCTAATTAGCGTTTCATTTTTGAGGGGTAAATCTAGGCGGATATATTGATAAGTCACCTTGTCCTAGAGAGATTTACACGGTAACCAAAATTTCACGACAGGGTAAGCCTATGAAACACAGCCCTTATTTTAAGTGTTTCTAAAATCCCCTATGGGAAAAACAATTGGAACCATTTCCCTGTTTGACCGCTAGGTTTTATGCGTATTATGACTCGCACTGTGGTACTCTTTAACTTGCCAGGAGGAAGAAGTAACCAGGAAGATCAGGATACAGAGACCATGGAGCATGTATTGCTACAGTGTGGGCAGTATCAGAGGGAAAGAGAGAGGATGAGATCTAGTATGAGGGAGAAGGGGTTACAGGAAATTAGTTTAAAGAGTATATTGAGTAGAACTTCATTAGATATAGTCTGAAATATTTTGTTATCTTTTTTAAGAGCAACGGGGCTGGCAGGTTGTGGTCCTCTGTAGCTCAGCTGGTAGAGCACGGCGCTTGTAACGCCAAGGTAGTGGGTTCGATCCCCGGGACCACCCATACACAAAAATGTATGCACGCATGACTGTAAGTCGCTTTGGATAAAAGCGTCTGCTAAATGGCATATTATATTATATTATATTATATTATATTATTATAGGTAGGATTTAGTTTCTCCCTGTCTCTGGCCCACACTCCAGTACAGTAGGTGGCGGTAATGCACCATAACGTTGGATGCCAACCGACGATAAACCCCACTGAAGAAGAAGTAACCAGGAAGAAATAGCTAGCTAGCTTTCTAGCTATGCTAATGACAAAAGCTATAACAGCTAGCAAGCTTACTCGTTATTAGGATGTTGATGACAGTTTTGCTAGAAAATTCTCATTATAAATCCAATGGATTTGCTAACAATGGTATGTCCTCATTTTAGCTCAACTTCACCATGGCCATCTCTCAGTTTCGCCTTTTTAAGATTTGCACATGGCTTGCAACCTTCCTTTCATTCTTCAAAAGGTTGATATGCAGGTAAGGAACACCCATTATGGTGAATTGAAAGAAGCAAAACTGATCTAGAACCCTTTGCCGTGTCAGACTATGTCTGCATAGATTTGGTAAAATCTGAAAGCCACAGTCTGTAAGATTTCCAGTCATTTTACTTCATGTTGAAAGGAATGTTAACCTCATGGAACGTCATTCATTGAGCACAACCAAATACATTAGCATAGAAATCAAATGCTATTTGCATGTGAAAATTGCATCCCATGGAATGCCTTTGCTCTAAAATTTATGTTTTTGTGGTGGCCGACAGTTTGATGGTAAGCACATTTCCTGTTTTGACATAGATCTGGGAGGTTGCGTAAGCTAAGCGGCGATCAGATATCTCTTCCAACGACGGTTGATTTTTCATCATTGCCCAAACAGGTCAGTGATATACAAGTTTATAAGATACAGCCCATTATTGATAACATGAGGCAAGTGCTTAGCCGATTCGCTTTACATCCATAACAAACCTGCTTTCCCCCTATTGTCATTAATGACATCATCAAGCATTTATTGTGCAACCAACAGCCAATGTTTACATTGTGGCACACTTAAATCCTTTCTCTTTATTTTCATCATATTATTTTTGTCTCATTCTTTTTACAAGAAACTTAATTTACACCTTGTCACTTTGACCAAACCCTGTGCAGCCAGAGATTGAAGAATGGAGCTCGTGGGATGAAGACGGTCCCACAAGTATCAAGATCGAGGGCGGTAACGGCAACATGCCACCTCAGCCTGGCGAGGAAGAGGAACCAGACTACTTCAAAGACATGGCTCCCACCATCAGAAAAACACAGAAAGTAGGCTGGGTCTTCATAAGCTGAAATCTGTATAAAGTGCCACTGTTCGCCCCAACGTCTTTGTTGTTGTGTTTGTTTTGTTGAGTTGATGAAACTCAGGAGAGGAGTGTCAGGCAGCATGATTTAAAAAATCGCAGTACATATTCTGGTGTTGTATGCGCATGCAATGATGTCCGAGCGGAAAAATGTGTTTGTTGTTTGATGTAACTTCTTTGTTGTAATATCCCAAATGGACGAGGCATTTTCACTAAGTACGGATTCCAGCTTTAAGTGCATTTCTCAACACTAATTGAAGGTAGACTCAGCAATATATGTTTACCACAAGGGAGGATCAGGGTAACTCCTAACACAAACAAAAATTGTCTAAAGGGCGAGGCTGCACTGTTCAACATTTGTTGTCACGCAGCTATCACATGGCATGAGAGAGCGAAGCAAACTCCCGTGCACATGCGCTGATGCTTAACAGTATCTGTATTGGTGATGACGAGTGCAGCCTCTTGCCTCACACTCTGTCGACAATATCGCTGGCCACACTGCTGCTTGTAGTCACGCTATATCATATTGTTGAGTCTTTAGTAGTTTTAACTTGTCTCCTCTCTCTCTGTCCCCACCCCAGATTGTGCTGAAGAAGAGGGAGCCACTCAACTACTTGGTACCCGACGGCAGTGCAGGCTTCTCCAGCAGACTGGCAGCCACTCAAGACACCTCCTTCATCCAACCATCTGTGAGTTACAGTGTAGCGCCGTCTAAAGTACAGTGCCTATAGAAAGTTTACACCCCCTTTAACTATTTTTTCACATTTTGCCGCCATAAAATTAAATCTAAAAATAGATTAATTATAATGTCTCTTGTGACAGACTGTTAATATAAATGGTATCATCTGTTGGCCTCTGCTGAATTTTAAATGGGGGGAGGTGATCTCCTTGTACGGTGGATTAGCTTCACTAATTATTTTGACCAATACTGATTTTGCAGAGGTGTTATTTGAAGTTAGGGTGGGGATTTTAACTTGGATGTTCTAATGCACACTGCTAACCTCTGAAATTGTTGTATCAAATGTTGTACAGCCTGGATTGTAAACATAGCTGGACTTTTGAAAGGGGACGTGCTGGGGAGGGACTTTCGCAGAGGCTTTGAGAGGGGTGGTACTGCTCCTTCCACTGTGTCCAGATTTCAAACCTCAGCCACCAAAAGCTGAGAAGCTAGCCAGCGCCGGTCAAATTTCTTGTTTCAAGGATTACAGACCAGCTCACCACAGCACTAGGATGAAGTCTGGGTTTCTTTTAGTTCACCATCTCAAAAGTAGTCTGTTTAAGTTGGACCAGTGCTGTGACATTGTTATATTACCAGGAGTGCACAAGTCCTCCAGGGCCACAGTTCTCTGTATTCAGGTTGAATAAAGGTTTATAACGATGTGAAGAATAGTTGCTAATGGAGGTTAGGTCCCACTGCCATCCTATACTGTGTCAGTGACCGTGTCCTGACTGCATTCCTGTCCTCTTCTCTGTCCCACAGTCTGAGCTTGGAGACATGGATACCTGGCATGAGGACGCCAACGCCTGGGAGGATGAGTCGTCAGATGCTGCCTGGGAGGCCGATTTAGTGCTCAGGTGATAGCACTTTTATTATTATTATTATTATTATTATTATTATTATTATTATTATTATTATTATTATATTGTCTAGAGCTGGGGTATTCAAATCTTACCCTACACGGTCCAGAGCCTGCTGGTTTTATGTTTTACCTGATAATAAATTGCACCTACATGGTGTCCCAGGTCTAAATCAGTCCTTGGTTGGAGGGGAAGAATGGAGAAAAAAACAATCAATGGAACTGGCTTCGATGTAGTCTGCGCAGAACTGATTTCTTCATCCTGCTACCACCCGCTACCGCATAACTAGTTCCGAACGCAATTTTATTTTAGGCATATGTGACGCAGCTCACTTGCCAGCCATGGTCCCAGCAATTTTGTGCCCTATAGGCAATATCAAAATACGCAAAAATAACCTAAGAAATAGCCTAGGTGACATTACCTGAGATTCTCACGTGGCCCATTATATTAAGCTATCGTTATTACTGGGCTATATCAGCCAATATGCTAGACTTAGTTTGACGAGAGCAGAGTTGGAGAGACTTGCACTTTCTCTTGAGCTATTTTTATAGTTGACCTTTTAGGAGTGGGATGATTTTCAGACTGAGACAAATATGGGTTATCAATATTTATTTCTAGGCAATGTAGTAAACTATAGCCTAATCATATTCAGGTAGTACATTTCCTAGGAAAGATAACTGCCAGTGATTCTCCGCACATGCATAGGCAGCCTACTCGATTTCAATGAGGCCACACATATACAGTGAGGGGAAAAAAGTATTTGATTCCCTGCTGATTTTGTACGTTTGCCCACTGACAAAGAAATGATCAGTCTATAAGTTTAATGGTAGGTTTATTTGAACAGTGAGAGACAGAATAACAACAACACAAATCCAGAAAACACATGTCAAATGTTATAAATTGATTTGCATTTTAATGAGGGAAATAAGTTTTTGACCCCCTCTCAATCAGAAAGATTTCTGGCTCCCTGGTGTCTTTTATACAGGTAACGAGCTGAGATTAGGAGCACACTCTTAAAGGGAGTGCTCCTAATCTCAGCTTGTTACCTGTATAAAGACACCTGTCTACAGAAGCAATCAATCAGATTCCAAACTCTCCACCATGGCCAAGACCAAAGAGCTCTCCAAGGATGTCAGGGACAAGATTGTAGACCTACACAAGGCTGGAATGGGCTACAAGACCATCGCCAAGCAGCTTGGTGAGAAGGTGACAACAGTTGGTGCGATTATTCGCAAATCGAAGAAACACAAAATAACTGTCAATCTCCCTTGGCCTGGGGCTCCATGCAAGATCTCACCTCGTGGAGTTGCAATGATCATGAGAACGGTGAGGAAACAGCCCAGAACTACACGGGAGGATCTTGTCAATGATCTCAAGGCAGCTGGGACCATAGTCACCAAGAAAACAATTGGTAACACACTACGCCGTGAAGGACTGAAATCCTACAGTGTCCGCAAGGTCCCCCTGCTCAAGAAATCACCATATACAGGGCCGTTTGAAGTTTGCCAATGAACATCTGAATGATTCAGAGGAGAACTGGGTGAAAGTGTTGTGGTCAGATGAGACCAAAATTGAGCTCTTTGGCATCAACTCAACTCGCCGTGTTTGGAGGAGGAGGAATGCTGCCTATGACCCCAAGAACACCATCCCCACTGTCAAACATGGAGGTGGAAACATTATACTTTGGGGGTGTTTTTCTGCTAAGGGGACAGGACAACTTCACCGCATCAAAGGGACGATGGAAGGGGCCATGTACCGTCAAATCTTGGGTGAGAACCTCCTTCCCTCAGCCAGGGCATTGAAAATGGGTCGTGGATGGGTATTCCAGCATGACAATGACCCAAAACACATGGCCAAGGCAACAAAGGAGTGGCTCAAGAAGAAGCACATTAAGGTCCTGGAGTGGCCTAGCCAGTCTTCCGACCTTAATCCCATAGAAAATCTGTGGAGGGAGCTGAAGGTTCGAGTTGCCAAACGTCAGCCTCGAAACCTTAATGACTTGGAGAAGATCTGCAAAGAGTGGAACAAAATCCCTCCTGAAATGTGTGCAAACCTGGTGGCCAACTACAAGAAACATCTGACCTCTGTGATTGCCAACAAGGGTTTTGCCACCAAGTACAAAGTCATGTTTTGCAGAGGGGTCAAATACTTATTTCCCTCATTAAAATGAAAAATCAATTTATAACATTTTTGACATGCGTTTTTCTTGAATTTTTTGGTTGTTATTCTGTCTCTCACTGTTCAAATAAACCTACCATTAAAATTATAGACTGATCATGTCTTTGTCAGTGGGCAAACGTACAAAATCAGCAGGGGTTCAAATACTTTTTTCCCACACTGTACACTTCTTGACCAAAGGTATGTGGACACCTGCTCGTCAAACATCTCATTCCAAACTCATGGGCATTAATATGGAGTTGGTCCCCCCTTTGCTGCTATAACAGCCTCCACTCTTCTTGGAAGGCTTTCCCCTAGATGTTGGAACATTACTGAGGGGACTTGCTTCCATTCAGCCACAAGCATTAGTGTGGTCGGGCACTGATGTTGGGCGATTAGGCCTGGCTCGCAGTTGGCGTTCCAATTAATCTCAAAGGTGTTCAATGGGGTTGAGGTCAGGGCTCTGTGCAGACCAGTCAAGTTCTTCCGCACCGATCTCGACAAACCATTTCTGTATGGACCTCGCTTTGTGCACGGGGGCATTGTCGTGCTGAAACAGGAAAGGGCCTTCCCCAAACTGTTGCCACAAAGTTGGAAGCACAGAATCATCTAGAATGTCACTGAATGCTGTAGCGTTAAGATTTCCCTTCACTCGAACTAAGGGGCCTAGCCCGAACCATTAAAAACAGCCCCAGACCATTAAACCGTTCCATTTTGGAAATTGCATTCACGAATGAATGCGACTGTTTTTAGTCTTTGCTGTAATAAAGGCTGGAGAAAAAAAAATAACGTTACAACAGACTCTGGTACGCTTATCATTTATTTAGTGTTGTTTTCATTGTTCCAAATGGTCAGGAAAAGTATATTGTAATCTAACCGCACCTGTTTTTCTTGATCTCCATTTTTTCCACAACTAGTCAAATGTATTCCACACATCTGACTTCCCCTTTACCTCCTGAGCAACCATTAAAACATTCCCCCGTTTCGAGTTTATTTGTCACGTCCTCTGCATCCATTTTGCTGTCACGTGTTTAAAGTTTGTTATATCCAATTTATTGTTGTGATTATGATATGCTATAGGTCAGGGCCTATTGGTGATGTGCATGCAATGCATACATTTGTCACGTAAAGAGAGCAAGGGTTGAGGGAATAGGGAATGTTTTTCCTAAACAAAAGAAGGATTTTGGTAACAGAACTTTTCAGTCAGAAATGGCTGTAGTTATGTTTCAGTTTAAGCATCACGGACAGCGTGATAAACACTGTTGATGTTCTGTGGTGGTCACTGCAGCAGGGAGGAGAGAGAGACAATGGTTGCTAGTCACACAGTCACTCGCTGTCATTTTTTTTAACAGCGCAGCAAGTCTGAGCCCGGCCCTGCACAATCAAATCAATGTGTGTCTTTAATTATTTCATCAAACGGTGGGCTTAAAGCATCAGACAAGTTCAGTGCATATAGTTTATTTGATTAAAACACATAGGATGTGTCTATATAGGGAAAAATACACGTTTAAACATTTCGACCAGATGACTCAAGGTCGACCAGCCCTAGTTCAATGTGAAACCCCTGTCATGTTCAGTGTCATATTGCTGTCAAATAGTCAAGAGATCTGCAAGTTTAGTTATTATCCAGCAGGTGGCAGTATATTAAGAATGTTCAGCACAGCATCAACATGAAAGAAAGGCATTATTTGCACACAGAAAAATTCTGGTTTAAGGGAAACTTGGTTGGCAGTACTTTTTATGTATTTTTTTTCTCTCTACCTCTGTGAACCATCACCTTTGCTCTCTCAAAAAGCTTAGTAATGAGGTTTGTTGCAATCCTTTTAAACTCACACCTTTTTTGTCATTTCAGACAACAGAAGATGGCCGAGAGAGAAAAGCGTTCCATGGAGCAGCAGAAGAAGAAGATGGAGAAGGAGATTCAGAGGATGATGAAGAAGGACCAGAAGATTGCTGTCAAGCTCTCGTAACATTTTTTTCGAGCACTCATCCCGTGAGCTGGAGGGCAAAAAGAGAAACACTGAGACAAACGTCACACGCTATTCTCTAGTCATCACCACACGAAGATCATCTCTACTCCACACAATGGTCATTTTTTAAAATCTCTGTCCACCAGCCATCATTCGAGGCATGGCTTGGCCAGTGTGATGTTTGCTCAATGACTGTTGTATTCAGCTGTCGGAAGGCACTTCATACCTGGGATGTGTTCATTAGGGCATGCAACGGAAAACGTAAATGAGCAACTCCCTCCCTGTTTCAGTCCGTTTTCTTCTGTTTGGCGCCGAATGAACACTATCCTGATTTAATTACAGTTTGTGTGACGATACTTTATTGAATCTGAAGTGTTCAATAAATACTCTGTGCAATGCCCTTTGGCATTGCCCTGTATCAGAGTCAGAGACTTGGTATCAAATGTCACTCTGGCTAGGTATGACTCTGGGTTCAGTAGTTAGATCTGAGTTATAGAAAACAAACAGTCCATTTGTATTTCCCAGGAATACGTGTAAATATACTGGTACCTATAGTACAAGTGGACTCTCAAAAGAGACCTATTTCTCTGACTTTGTCTTATTTATAACATAAAGGACAAAGGCGTGTAATTAAATGTAAGTCTCCCAGTTACATACATCCCTTTGTTGGCTTGGTTATTATGCTTTTTAATTACGTTTCTCGTCGTCATTGTTCGAAAACACATTCTCTCTTTGATGTTGCTTGATATTCTTGAAGTACACTACCAGTCAAGTTTGGACACACTTACTCATTCAAGGGTTTTTATATATTTTTACTATTTTTTTACATTGTAGAATAATAGTGAAGACATCAACTATGAAATAACACAAATGGAATCATGTGGTAACCAAATAAGTGTTTAACAAATCAAAATATATTTTATATTTGAGATTCTTCAAATAGCCACCCTTTGCCTTGATGACAGCTTTGCACACTCTTGGCATTCTCTCAACTAGCTTCATGAGATGGTCACCTGGAATGCATTTCAATTAACAGGTGTGCCTTCTTAAAAGTTAATTAGTGGAATTTCTTTCCTTCTTCATGCGTTTGAGCCAATCAGTTGTGTTGTGACAAGGTGGGGTGGGGTGGAGTGGGTATACAGAAGATAGCCCTATTTGGTAAAAGACCAAGTCCATATTATGGCAAGAACGGCTCAAATAAGCAAAGAGAAACGGCAGTCCATCAACAACTGTTCAGAGGGAACTGTGAATCAGGCCTTCATGGTTGAATTGCTGCAAAGAAACCACTACTAAAGGACACCAATAAGAAGAAGAGACCTGCTTGGGCCAGGAAACACGAGCAATGGACATTAGACCGGTGGACATTTGTCCTTTGGTCTGGAGTCCAAATTGGAGATTTTTGGTTCCAACCGTTGTGTCTTTGTGAGACGCGGTGTGGGTGAACGGATGATCTCTGCATGTGTAGTTCCCACCGTAAAGCATGGAGGATGAGGTGTTATGGTGTGGGGGTGCTTTGCTGGTGACACTGTTCAAGGCACACTTATCTAGCATGGCTACCACAGCATTCTGCAGCGATACGCCATCCCATCTGGTTTGGGCTTAGTGGGACTATCATTTGTTTTTCAACAGGACTATGACCCAACACACCTCCAGGCTGTGTAAGGGCTATTTGACCAAGAAGGAGAGTGATGGAGTGCTGCATCAGATGACCTGGCTTCCACAATCCCCCGACCTCAACCCAATTGAGATGGTTTGGGATGAGTCGGATGGCAGAGTGAAGGAAAAGCAGCCAACAAGTGCTAAGCATATGTGGGAACTCCTTCAAGACTGTTGGAAAAGCATTCCAGGTGAAGCTGGTTGAGAGAAAATCAAATCAAATGTTATTTGTCACATGCGCCGAATACAACAGGTGTAGACCTTACAGTGAAATGCTTACTTACAAGCCCTTAATGCCAAGAGTGTGCAAAACTGTCATCAAGGCAAAGGTTGGCTATTTGAAGAATCTCAAATATAAAATATATGTTGATGTGTTCAACACTTTTTTGGTTACTACATGATTCCATATGTGTTATTTCATAGTTTTTATGTCTTCACTATTATTCTACAATGTAGAAAATAGTAAAAGTAAAGAAAAACCCTTGAATGAGTAGGTGTGTCCAAACATTAGACTTGTACTGTACAGCCTTCAATACACTGGAGTTGCACATTTGAATTGAAGGCTTAAAAATAAGTTTCAAACTGAGGGTGTGGACACTGTCAAAGGGATTTGGGAATTTAATTGAGCCTTACTAAAGAGTTGGCTGTGGATTCCTATGGTAATCCTATGGTTACTGATCTGCCAGGCTCAACATCTTTGACATCTTGAATAATCAAAACATTTTCCTGCTTGTTCTTATCCCTGCTTTTTAATACACCAAAATCGATGTGACTCTTCTTTAACGACTTTTGTCTTTGTTATTATGTTGAATGTGTGTTTTTGTTTTTTTACATGTTCAATGTAGCATAACACACACAAACTCTGTCTCTGTGTTATCTGAGACAGCCTGGTAATCAGACTTGGATGGCCAACTCACATCCTTGTTCGTGATCAAAGCAAATAAAAAGATGCAAAGGTCTGATCTCCCCTCATCTGTAATTTGTGGACAGTTAATAACAGAATCGGACGATAGATTTAATGAGTCAAAGCCTTTTGCATTGACTGGACCAATAACCTGTTACGTATCAATATGATTTTGGTATGGTCAATCAATGTCGAATCAAGTGGAGCTTTTTGTGATGGAAGTGGGCGTGCGTGTGCATGTGTGTGTGACTAGCAAACCGGTTTATGAGACTGGAATGTCAAGCAGAAGGGTCTAGTTGCCATGGAAACATGTATGCAGAGATGGCGCTGTAAGAACTGACATGCATAAGGCATTTGCAGTTAAACAGACCTGTTGGATTAGAATAACAATTGATAGTCCCTTTTACACATTTGTGTTTTCCTTGTACCATCACTGGGGTATCCTGTATATAATATGGGGACTCTGGCAAAAGTAGTTTTTATATTGAATGTTTAAATGAACGATGCCTTTGAAACAGTGTGGTGTTTTCATGGTTATTTTAGGTGGGGCCCCAGAGAATTAAGAACATAATACAGCTAACATGTCCTTTTGCTTTCTTTGCACATACTTCTTCCAATTGTTATCAAAGTCAGCATGATGGGGATACATGATTATACATTTTTCTTTGTCAATAAAGATGTTTTTTTTGCACATTCCTTAATTTCTGTAATACATCTCTGGATCCCTTTTCATTTGTGTCTGAATGTTAACCAATATTAGAGTCATGACAGAAACAAAGATTCAAAACCAATAAAGCAAGCAATTTTAAGATTAAATCAGCATTAAATCACTGTTGTTCTTTTCAGACTTGTGTGGGATTGAACATAATCTTTAGTATTGGAATAAAATGTCCTCCCCAGATTCATTCAAGCCATATTTCTCTGAACAACCCACGATTTATTGCATTAGGAAAAACAACCATTATGAATAAACCTTTTACGTGCATGGATCCCAGTGTCATTAGATATGCTTGTTCTCTAAGTAGATTAATAGGGCATTTTAATCTCATGCAATGCTAATTCCTTTCAAATGCCTTTCAAACCCAAGGTCAGACTAGTTGTCCTGTCTCTCTTTTCATTTCCGGCCTTAACATGTAACATCATCGTCACAAATTCACTATCTGTCTCCAAAAACACCCCCGCTTGATCAAACCACTCAGAGGCTGATCATTACCTACTTTTAGGAACGAAACGTCTCACTCATCAGTTTTTCGGGAAGAGCTGGGGTAGACATCTCTGAGGGATAATCTGCTCTGTTCCTGCAGAATTATAATTATCTTTCGATTGTAAAAATGAAATTGTCTCATCTGTGTGATTAATAGCCATTCTAAGTAAAGTATCCATATTTTATCCTGCTGGTATGTTAAGCACTACTAGTGCTCTCTGGCACAATCTCAATCCATCTTTCCTTGATTCCTCACATCCTATCGCCTCGCCTCCTCAAAATGCATTGGAGAAGAAGGTCAGAGGGGAGGGACCTCCAATACAGTTGAGAAGGAGGTGAGGAGATAGGATGCATGGAATCAAAGAAAGACAAATTGAGACAGCCCTGAACTCAGCTAACGCTGCACTCGTAACCAAGTGGGAAGTGGGAATTGACCAGTTGTGATGTCATAAATAACAGTTGGATGCATTCACATGCTATGAACTCTTTGAGAAACGCCAATTGGCTAATGGCCAACAAGCTGAGTAAACCATAAACTAAAAGTTCAGCTATCATGCCTGTAAACAAATTATCTTCAAAAACCATATTAATAGATTGCCTTTTATAAATAAAGTTTTGTTGCATTTAACTGCTGAAAATGCTGTTATCAAGGTAATTTCCTTAGTAGCTGATGTCAGAGGTCAGCATGTGGAAGAAATGAGAGCTCAGGATGATAGACGAGTTCACCACGAGTAATTACCAGTTGGAAGGTCATTCAGATGAATTTTCCCCATTCGTATGTGGTAAATTCCCACTTGGTTACCAATGCAGTATGACTCCACCTCTTTCCTCATATTGATTCAACCTTTTCTTTGCTACCAGGCCTGGTTGCAGAGAGAGATTATAGCAGATGGAATGATTAATCAGTCTGCTTGCACTCTAATGAACATATGGTTATGTAACAGAACATCCCCATATGGCAGTAGGGGAAATGGGTTATTTAGCATCGCATGGGGCTTCTCATTCCAACCCCAGTCTCATTGCATCAGTTTGCCGGTTGATTAGATATATTTAAATAGCTGTAACGTGACAAGTGAAAACATAGTATGTGTGTATAAACAGTCACTGCTGGTCTGGTGCATGACCTTTCTTCAAAGATGGTCGGACTCGGAACCACCATCTTGCAGCTTTGGAAGTTCCACTATGGCAGGTCTAATGCACTTCCATTGTAAACTGCCCAGGGGACATTGAACACAGCCTGAAAAAGCCATTGTATTTTTTGTTTGATATACATTGAACAAAAATATAAATGCAACATGGAACAATTTCAAAGATTTTACTGAGTTACAATTCATAATAGGAAATCATGATAGAAATTGAAAAAATTAATTAGGTTATAATATATGGATTTCACATGACTGGGAATACAGATTTGCATCTGTTGGTCACAGATACCTTAAAAAAAATTAGAGGCGTGGATCAGAAAACCAGCCAGTATCTGGTGTGGCCACCATTTGCCTCATGCAGTGCGACACATCTCCTTGGAATAGAGTTGATCAGGCTGTTGATTGTGGCCTGTGGAATGTTGTCCCACTCCTCTTCAATGGCTGTGCGAAGTTGCTGGATATTGGCAGGAACTGGAACACGCTGTCGTACACGTCGATCCAGAGCATTCCAAACATGCTCAATGTATGACCATGTGTAACCAGGACCGTTGGAGGCGGCTTATGGTAGAGAAATGAACATTGAATTCTCTGGCAACAGCTCTGGTGGACATTTCTTAAGTCAACATGCCAATTGCACACTCCCTCCTAACTTGACACGTGGCATTGTGTTGTGACAAAATGGCACATTTTAGTGGCCTTTTGTCCCAAGCACAAGGTGCACCTGCGTAATGATCATGCCATTTAATCACCTTGATATGCCACACCTGTCAGGTGGAAGGATTATTTTGGCAAAGGAGAAATGCTCACAAACAGGGACGCAAACTCATTTGTGCACAAAATGAGAAAAATATTTTTGTGCATATGGAAAATATCTGGGATCTTTTTTCAGCTCATGTTGCATTTATATTTTTGTTCAGTGTAATCTGCAGTCATAAGGAAAGGCTCAGACAGATGTTTACTAATTCACGTGAACTTGTTCCGTAGTTAAGAGCTGTTGTGCGAACGCAGAAACATGTGCCCTCGTGTTTGGGGCCGGGAACATTGTGTTCTGCCGTTCTCAGACATTTTTTTGCAATTAAGGATCCCCCTCTAATCTGGAGATTAAAACAGTAAATCCAAGAAGTCTTTAGTTTAATTTGTTCACTCAAATATCCTTCTTGTTGGCATTTAAAAAGAAACTATTCAAATAATCACCAATTGAAATTTGCACCCATGAAAAAGACAAGAGCTGAACAATGCATCGCAATTGGATGTAGAACAATACACAACGTTCTGTTGCTACATATGCCATAGATTCTCTTATAAACTGCTTGGGATTAAATAATCTGCTAAACCCTTCCCACCCAAAAATTCCCAAGAGGAGCCAAACACGAATGGGATTATCATGCTTTAATAATAAATATATTAGGACATTTGATGTTAAGAGTATTACACATAGCTCAGGCACAAACAAGTATGGGTTGTTTTGAAGCGTTGATCTCATACTCCTATCAACAATTTGTTAACACATACGTAAAAAGCTCTACTCACAGGTAGAAAAATAAAATGAGTGAACATTCATTAATAACGCTTTGGCTGCAGGTTTAAGATTATTTTGGAACATATCAAACACTTGCTCAAACATTCAATTTCATCCCCACCCTCAGACATCCTAATACTTTCAGAAAAAACATGGTTGTTTAAGTAGGGGTAACTAGTGCCAGCCCAGGACATCAATGATGCATAACCACCTACCCAGATTATCAGTTTATACACAATTATGATAACGAACAGATGGAAAGTAAATAAAATGAACAAAATAGATCCCTTCACCATAAATAACTTCACAATTTTTGCCTTGACGCACAGCAACTGTACACAGTGCAAAGTAACCGTGTGGGAACCTAAAGTAATAACTGTGGCGTTAATATTCACAAGTGTAGAAAAACTAAAAGATTTCACAAATACTCGGATTAACGGATGTTGAAGTGCTTTAAGTTGACGGGTCGGGCTGTGCATGCGGGTCGGAGGCCGTTACACATCTGCCACATGAGGAGGAGTGACGTGACGGAGAGAGTGCAATCCCATGATGCAACAGCCACGGATCAGCGCTGCGATGTTGTAGACTGGTGCTGCCCCATCCACGCCATGCCGGGAATACAGCCAGGCCACCGTGGGCAACACTGGTACAGCCACAGCAACCAGATCAACAAGGAAGCTGCTGCTCCAATAGCGTTTGTTGACCACGTCCATCTCAGGGGCCCTGCAGGGCTCCTCGCTTCTCACCTCAAAATCCAGCTCCTCCATGAAGCGCATGGAAATCACCACCTCGGGGTCTGAGCAACACAGCCCTGAATCACTGGACATGTCAGGGCTCACTGGCAGAACTGGGGTGGGCTGGCTGGGACTGGGCAGGCTTAAAGTGGACTGGTTAGGAGTGGACAGGATAGGGGCCGAGTCTGGGCCCTGCAGTGCTGGGATTTCTAGGAGGCTGGTAGAAGCTGGGAGGAGAGCGTCTCCAACTGCACCACCATGGAGCTTCAGCAGCTGCAGCAGGAGGGCGTGCAGATCAGGAGGGAATGACGCCACCTTCGGTCTGAACGGCCTTCTCCTCTGGAGCAGGGAAGGGGAGTGTGCTGTAGCAGAACGTGTTGGAGGAGGGTGGTGGAGGCAGTGGTGTGATCTTCTCCTCCTCCAGGCTGTGGAGAAGAGTGGACACCCCCAGACCAGCCTCTGGGTGGCAGCGCAGCTTACCGCTAGAGTCCTGGCTGGAGTCCACCGCCGTGGACATGAGCACGTGCTCCAGGTTGTCGTTGACCAGCAGCCCACTGTCCGCCATCTCCTCCGCCGCCTGGTCACCCACCTCCCACTGCTTGTCTTTGACAGGGGAGTCGGAGTCGCCACAGATGAAGTCCATAGTTGGCTCGTCTTGCAGTGTGGAGCCGCTCTGGGCCATCTCCATGCTGTGCAGCAGGGACTCCAGCTTGCGGTTCTGGATGTTGATGTCGACAAAGTACTTCTGGATGCCCTTGTCCTTCTCCATCAGGCTGTTCTTCATGGTCTCCACCACCTGCCGAAGCTGCTTGATCTCCTTGCGTGCCTCCTTCAGGGCTAGCTGCGCCTCTACACGGTGGCACTCCTCCTCGATCCAGTCCTCCCTCATCCGTCCCAGCTGGGACTTGAGCTCCTCGATCTCAGACTCCCTAAGGGGGAAAAGAGGGTTAGCTAATAGTTACAGCTGAATGGAATTGCAATGTTTGGCTACACTGTAGTTGGAATGCATTTAGGAAATAAGCTAAACATGAGATGTACACTGAGAAGGTAACCTGTCGTGGACGGTGTTCTCCGCCTCCCTCAGCTTGCTACTCAGGTGGCGAATGGCCACCTCCTTCTGTTGCAGGGGGGTGAGGTACTGCTCTGGGTTGGGGGGTCTGATGCCATGGTTGTCCCCACAGGAGTGGTATCGTACGGGGGTCATCCTTCTGGGGGGAGGAGACAGGAAATTACACGTTAGCCCTGAGTCACATACTGTATGTTCTGCTGGTGAGACATCTGAGGAAGAGGACACCCCATATATTGTACACACCATCCTGTACTGTGTTCAGTAACATGAACAGTGCTGAGCCCCATCTAAAGCAGACTCCCTCAGTTCTGTGGGGAAGGAACTAGGCCATGAAAAAAAATTGTGATTGGTGCAACTTGCACGACGCAAAGCTCAAAATAGCTTGTTTTAGAGAGAAAACACTGCCGGGCAAGGTTATTACTTAGTCGATTGTGTCTGACTGGGGATGTCACTTTCAGGACACGGACTGACCAACCAGCAGACTTCATGCTGCAAAAAGCTAAAATGCCAGGTTGGTCAAAGGCTGGATAGGAAAACAATTAATTGGGAGGGAAAGCCCAAATTACATTTGCTTGGCTCTAGTCTACAAGGTAACAGCGTTTCTGCCTGAGAATTCCCTGAAATGCCTAAAACGTCTTTAAAATTAATACAAGTACATTAACCTTCAATTGTACATGAGCAGTTCTGGAATATACCTGTGATCAGGTCTTCCTCAGGTTCAAAGAGGATTGATGAAACACATTTGTGTGTCTGAGGATGAGAGGGTGGATTTGGCTAATATGCAGAGCAGCCCCTCTTACAAACAGGCTTAAAAGCTAGCACTAGATCCTAGCATCAAAATGGGACTTGTGCTTTGATGTGAGCGCTCTGCATCCCTGCCAGAAATAGAACAGGCTAGCAGAAGGTAGCGAGAGAACAAGGACACCACACGAAACCCAGCCAGCCAGAAGAGAGCTGAGGGGAACAAGAACAAAAAAAATCCTGTAGCAATAAAATGACTCTAGAAACAAAAATGCAGTCATGGACGTTTATACGTCCGCATAAGATACATAAGTAGGGATTGTGTTGCATAGAGAATGACTCACATTAAGCCTGTGGGCTGAATTCAAGAGGGCGCTGGTTAGTTATTTTATATAGTCAGAGCAGAACGGCAAGGTTGAGCTTGCTCGTGCAGTGCTGCTGTCATGGCAGCACAGGATCCCTCGAGTGAATATTCTGCCACATAGCAACATGAGAACCCAGCAGCACTACCACAAATGAGAGACAGTAAGTGAAAAAAAGGCAGGGATGCAGTCAGGCAAGCCAGTCTGGCTATCGACTGAGTTACGATGAAATATTCATGACCTTCCTCTCCTATAAACCCAAGGTTTTGACTGACACCCACACACAGACAATAACACAATTCAGACTGTTTATAAGGAGATGACAAACAGTCCTGCCATAGAGCCTAATCTATCCACCCTTGCCCCAACTAGTGAATGCCCACCCCTCACAGAGCAGACGCTCAATTACAAAGGGACACCTAGCCCCTTCTTTCATGTTGATCTGAAAGGATAGGAACATGGTAGTTGATCTTGTCCTTTGATAGGTTAGGTGGAATTATTGCCATATTGCTTTGAGCTATCCAATCATTTCAGATCCAGGCCCTGTCTACGTAAGCAATATGGCAAGAAATACCAGAAGGGGTACCGCTGGAGGTTGTTTCTGGAACTGGCCAGTGTATGGGGGTGTGGGTATGACATGGCTGTTTACCTGGAGGGTACTGTGGGGCTGGAGTTGCTGCTGCTGTTGGTGGATGAGGGGACTGTCCTGTACGGGGCGTAGAGCTTTGCATCGCGGGATGCTGAGGGGCTCCCTGCCAGCTTGAAAACCGGGAGGCTCCTGATGTGGGCACCACGACTGCGGGAAGAGACATGTAGTAGTTAGGTAAAGCTAATGAGAAGACATAACTAGTCTTGTAATGTTGTCCATTTATCATTGAAAAAACAAAATACAGCAATAAAGAAATAGCATAGCTATAGTTTTTGGAACAGTTTCCCAGACCCAATTACATTTTTTTTGTTTAAAGTGCATTTTAGTTTAGGATCAGGGTCTGGGAAACTGGCCCTTTAAGTATGACACCCACTAGTGGTGTAAGAGAATGGAGTGCCTGCTTTTAGAACAGAGGCAGTAGAGAAACAGAACCAGAGCCACCCCATATATCACCTGCGTGAGGAGATCTTCTTCCCTGTTGAGTTGTGGGCCAGGCTCCCCCCTCTCTTCAGGCTGCCCGTGCTGCTGGAGGAGCTGAAGTCTGCCTCGCTACCTGCAGTCAGACAAATGCATCAGGATGTTACTACTGACCTGGCATCAGCGGGCAGGAAACACCAAACACTGGTGCTATACACACACCCACTTACATTATGCATTTCCATGGCTACACATCGTGCAGTTGTGATCCATGTCCATTTCAAGTCTTTGAATTTCATCCTATCAGAACCTACTTCTGTGTTCAGAAGTCAAAAACATCACAGAAAAGTCCCCGAAATCACCATGTGAGCCACTTCAAAACAGTAAGCAAACTGACAAGCTTCATCCTGCTGCAAAGCCCTTCCTTGTAAGAGGCTATGGTGCATTTGTCGTTAGCAACAATGGCAGGATTCAAGCAGAGGCTAAGGGATTACACAGCTGCCATAGTATAAGCAGGCCCGGTCAGTCCAACCTCGCACAGCATGAGATACTACCTACTGAATGCAGCCTCTTACCCTCTAGGCAACCGCTAATCCATTCATAGACGCCAACTACCTTTAGCGCCCATTGACGATAGGATCTTCTGGCTGGGGGAGTTTTATTAAGAGCCCCAACACTCGTTCTGAACGTTAACATGCGTCACTTACGGTATGGTTTTCGAAACATAAGGTACGCATCTTTCATATCAGCGAGAAATAATAAAAAGGTTAAATTGCTACACACCTTTATAGGGTTCACAAATGGCCATATTTCCATGTTACAGCGCTTGTTTACGGACAACAGACAGAAGACAGTCAACTACCTGTGCTAATTAGCTATCTGCGTCTTCGAACACCTGTGTCATTGAAAAATACTGTCAGCTGTAATTTAAAACAGTGTACAGAAAGTAGATTTTGTATTTGTGATATGAAATTAGAGGGCTTTATGTTTCTAGAACCGTACCGCAATAGAGAATCAATTCATGTTTAGATGGAGTATTTGGCTGGTTTGGCTGCCAGAGCCAATTCACCTCTAAACAGAACATGCGAGTTGCTTGGGCTATAAGGAATAACATTAGGCTCCTTTTGTCAATTATTGGGCTAGGCAACCGTGAGATCTGTCACTCAACACCTGTCTGATGGTTGCAGGACAGGCTGTGGTATCCCATTCTCTAACCTCTCCCTCCATCCCCTACGCACTACAGTAACCTACTGACGTGAGCAGACATGAAGGGCCGATGCAAAGTTATGTAAAAAACAAATATATATATTATCAACCACTATATACCAAAAAAATAATCTAAATCTAATCCAGGTAATACCTAGAAAACCAAACATAGTAAGCTTAAGCATATCATCATCTAGTAAAAATTCAGACAAGATTAATCTAATGAAAAGAACAGGGTCAACCTAACCTAATGTACCTACAGCTGTACCAAATCAATCCATAAATAATCTCAGAATCTCTGAAGACATGTTGCTAAATTAGTACATAAATACTTTTGCAATACTGCATTCAGACATTCCATCAAACAAAATAATCACTCAGAATGAGCCAGTATGACAACTCACTATGTGGGTAGAACATCTTTCTCCCTTATCAATGATTGGTAACCTTCTGTAAGGAAAGGAAGCATGGGACACTAATGATGTATTTTCTGTGAAAACATGACATACCTGAGTAGCATCTATTTCCATTCGATAAAACCATAGTAAAGTGCTCACTGTGAATTTATGATTAACTAACAACAAAACTGAACCTTCAACACTGGGTGAGTGAGTCAATTGCAGGTACAATGTGCTGCCAACCAATAAGTGAAGTCAACTACTGCTAATCAGCCTAACTGGAAAACCTCAGGTCCAACATTAATTATCCAATCAGCAGCCTCTCTGGATTTGAACCTTGATCAAGCCGTTGGGCGGATTCAATTAGGCTGAGCCTCGGGGCACCAGTATATGGCCCGTGACATGAACGGGCAAAAGGGGTGAGGGAGGAGTGCCCTTCTCAAATCAAACAGTAATCTGCACTGCTCGGTCATGCCGTCAAACAAGGCAGCATGGCGCATTGTCCAGAAACATACATCTCTTTTCCATACAGTATATATTTGTATTTTCTAACTATTTTTAATTTGGCAGATAAATCGTTTTTTATCAAAAGCAATCACTTTTGCATGTGAAAACACAGAGTCTTACTCATTACTCCATGTGCTTAATTACATCACTTTTGTTTTGAGCCAACTTCAACGTGGGCTTTAAAACGGGGTGCCCGGCCCAGATTAATCAAATCCCCTCATTGTTGGCATTCCTCTGCACAGACGTTGCTGACACATGCCAGATTTTACAAAGCCTGCATAAGTATTTTACATATCAGCTAACCACATCATATGTCATAGCAATCTGGTGCCCAAAGGCACAGTCGATGAAGTGACATGCAACCATTGGTTAATGCATGCAATGTCTGTGCAGGGGAACACAACCATTGAGTGCGTCCCAATAATATCTCCTTCTTCCTGCACTCATTCACTACTCCCCAGAAATGTAAAAGCATTGGATTGGTGTAGGCATGGGCTAGAGGAAGTTTCTACCATATTGCTTATACCAGTCGGTTCCTTCAAATCCATGAAGGGAAGTGAACAAGTGTACACTGTGGAAGGTAGGAGAGATATTTGGGATTTAGCCATAGGGAGAGTCTCAATTGCGTACTCATTAAAAACTTTTTATAAGCTTTTAGTGTCTCGCCTCCTTCTCAAAATCCAATGGATGAGAAAGCCAGAGGTCCTGCCCCTCTGACTGTCTCCTCCAATGGGTGTTCTGCAATTGAGATTAAAATTACATGAAAACAATACTATGCAGATAGTGTATACATACAAAGCATGTAGAAATCAGGGTTGGGTTCAATTAAGTTAAAGGCAGTCAATCAAGAAATGATTTGAATTTAAAATGCAGACATTTAAAAACTTTAGAAATAAATAACTTCTGCTTTTGAATTTATTGAGAAGTCATTGAAAATAAAAGCCATTTTTTCTATTATAGGATTGTGATTTTAGTTTACTTCCTGAATTGACTGCATTCAATTCGAATTGAGCACAACCCTGGTCTACAAGAAACCATTTCACATGGTTATTTCATATATATTTTACTCTGACGTTGATCTATTTTGTAGATCTTTTTTTAATTGACAGTTAGTACCTCAATCAAACAAATACATATCAGAATCAGAATTGAGAGAAAAGCCTAAGATCTGCTAGGACAACGTATGTATGAGCCTCCAAACCCCACCTACAAAAAAAACAACCTGAAGCCATTCCCTGTAGTAGCCTACCTCTGGGCAATGTGGAGGATCGCTGCTCCTTCTTGTGCCTCGGCGGGGATGCTTGCCACTCTGCCATCACCCTCACCCTCTTCACCTTGGTCTTGCACTCAGCGGTGGGTGTGGGTGAGCCATGCGGACTGTTGTCTGAGCCTGACAGGGTTTTGGAGGGGGACACAGACTGACTACTGGGGCAGCCGGTGTCATCTATGTAAACAGGTACAGCCAAGAATACGCATGCAGCACGGAACACACAGCAGTCAATCAATCATTCAGAGCTCGGGGTTCAGTCCCTCTTATCTGTTCATACTGTAACTCATCCAACCAACAGTGCTCATATTACCAACACCACAGCACTGTGTTATGGAAGCAGAAGGGAGGTGAAAGGGGTGACAAGAAACTTCCATGATGACTTAATGTTATTCAATATACATCAATATGTTGTAACCTAATTTTGGTTAGGTTTAACTGTTGTCAAAATAATGTCAATAGAGAAAATAACCTAGGCCTACTATAGAAGGCTAGGTCATTTCTGGAATAATGCCAACTATTATGCCAACTTTGTTATGTTTGCCAACTTTGTTGTTTATGGTAGGTTAGTAGACTTGTGTAATTCAGATTTGTTTCAACAGTTGATGTCATCATCTACAAAAAAAAGTATGTTAGTTGATTGAAACAACAGTAATCAACTAGCTTTCATATGATGAGGACTTATCTTTACATAATTTGACTTGGCAACACTCACAAAACCTCCAATGCATGATTATGTAATCAATGCCCTGACTAGTGTGTGATAAGATGTGGATTCGGCCTACATAGCAGTGTGTTGGCATGAATTCAGACATTTTTACATGATGAACCCTGGCTGCAGGGATGGACTGGGATCAGAAATCGTCCTGGGCCTTTCTAACACACCGGCGGCCATTAATTCTGCACACAAAAATGATATTTAGATAGACCCACTGAGCTAAAGACAGACCAGCCCATCTGCCATTGCCAGAACTGCCCTGGCTGCCATCAACAATGTGACAATAGTGACAGGTGAAAGCAAATTCCCATAAATGTTATGTTTTCAGCTAAATGTAGTGAGATTAGAAGAGGAATCTATTTTAGACTTTTAGGATGCAACCTAACCTTGATCTGAAACATGGGAACCACATACCTGAGCAAAAGCTGTTGGTGCTGATGGTCCGTTTGGAGTTGTCTGAGCTGATGTCGCAGTCCTTACCCTCCTCCTCAGAAATGGGGGATTCGGACAGGGGCAACCCTTTCTCATTAGGGTGGAAAGGATGGAGGATCAAGCGTGGGATGCGGCTGCGGGGGCTCTCCTTCCCTGGTGACTTCTTTTCCTGAGAACCATACAGGTATCACAACTATGCTCACCACTTGAATTTTTGCGACAAGAACAAATCAAATTCATATGAATTTTGTTTTTGTCTTACTTGCTCTGTCACAGCAACACAGTCATTAAATAATGATGGTCTACTAATGTGACTGTGACAGTCTAGATTAGATAACTGTAGGCTATTATCATTCTCATTATGTGATATTTTAACAAAAATATTAGCTGAATTGTTAAGATTCAAAATGATTTCAAAGTGTTGCAATGACACGCACCTCATATTCCTGGAACGGTCCCATTGTGCTTCACACTGCGTTTCCCCCTTTGGATCTGTGAGAAAAGTAAAACTAGGTGAGATGTATTTCTGTCCGAGGCATCCTGACGTGGCACACTGGCACTGATCCCTTTACGAACAAGGGCGACTCTGTCCGAAATCTGTTACGTAAATCATGTCACCCCCGCCCACGTCCACCCCTGCCTGGCACAGATGGCACAGACACTGACCGGACCTTGGTCATTAAACCAGTGAGCCCCACATCAAATGTAGGCTACCAGATTGAAAATATATATTCTTTACTTGAAAATAGTTTGCATGTATTTCCTCAAACATGTAACAAAGGCATGAGACCGTTTCTTGAATCCAATAAAACCCAGGCTTACTGTCCTTCACATGCATGTGCCACAAAAAATACAACAACCTAAAATCCATTATCCAATTATGTATCGATATAATGGAATGATGATTGAAATCTAGTCGTGAATGATGCTGCAGAGAGGAACTGGGTGTGGTTCTAACTCTTAATTTATTTCTAAATGATGTCCCACTAGGTGGAAAACAGACAGCAGCATCTTCAAACATCTAGTAGAGAGAGGCTGACTAAGGTTTTCCTCGGTGCCATGAGTAATTCTGCCAAGATACACCACAGAAATATGACATCATTTCTTCCTTTTGGGATCCTGTGCCAAGAGTCTTTTTCCTGCCAAAAAGATGACACCAGAGAGTAACACACCGGCAAACCGCTCACTGAATATTGAGATAAGAATTACAGAATAATAGTGTATGGTTGTATATTGATTTTCATAGACCCTATACACGTAGTTCATTTCACCCTTTCCATTTTGACATAGACATAGAAAGGCCTCCAGGATCCAGTACAAAAGTGTATGTTTTATTGATGTTTGACGGCTGAATAATTCAAGGTTCCCATAATGCCTGACTGCACATTATAACGTCACTCCATTCCTTATCCATTCCCTCTCTCCTGTTGAATGTTGTGCCTCTTAGCATCACCGCTTAAAGGGGTTGGTTATGTAAGTGTGTACGTGTTTGGTCTTCTCTTTTTTATATCAAGAATGACGTAATTGACCCCTAAGGTCTGATTCGTTATCGCTTTCCTGAATCCGGACTTCTTTTTCCCTCTTACCATCCAGATGCTATCTCTTTATTTTGACTGCATGGCACCCAGGATGTTGGTATATATAGCTCAGGACATCTGCTGTCCCTATCCCCAAGCAAACACCCATCTTGAAATACACTGTGTACCCTGACTATCATGTCTTCACTACAGGTGTCACGTTCGTTCATAGATGGGACGGACCAAGGCGCAGCGTGATATGCATACATGTTTATTTAAACTTAATAAACACTCGACAAAACAATAAACGAAACGTCGGAAGGCTATACACACAAGCCAAACTCACCGAGCACAAAACAAGATCCCACAACACAGGCAGGAAAACTGTCTGCCTAAGTATGATCCCCAATCAGAGACAACGAGTGACAGCTGCCTCTGATTGGGAACCACACCCGGCCAAACATAGAAATACAAACATAGAATCAACACACATGATATTCACACCCTGACCAAACTAACTAGAATTCTATAGGTCAGGGCGTGACAGTACCCCCCCCCAAAGGTGCGGACTCCGGCCGCACAAACCTGACTTAACAGGGGAGGGTCCTGGTGGGCTTCCAGCCTCGGTGGCGGCTCCGGGCTTGCCGTCTCCTCCCTTACTGACTCCGCGTTGCACCCCTGGACCGGTCTGGACCTCAACGCGGAGCTTCCCCTCTCAGTCCTCCCACGATGCACCGATCCCTGTCTGGACCCTGGTGTGGGAGACGCCGAACCTAGAGAGGGGCTAACGTCTGGACCCGGAGTGGAGCCGCTGACCGGAGCTGCACCGGATCCCGGTGGAGCGGACTGCTCTGGCTCCGGAGTGGAGCTGCTGACCGGAGCTGGACTGGGCACCGGTGGAGCGGACCGCTCCGGCTCCGGAGTGGAGCAACCGACCGGAGCTGGATCAGGCACCGGTGGAGCGGACTGCTCTGGCTCCGGAGTGGAACCGTTGACCGGAGCTGGACTTGGCACCGGTGGAGCGGACTGCTCTGGCTCCGGAGTGGAACCGTTGACCAGAGCTGGACTGGGCACCGGTGGAGCGGACTGCTCTGGCTCCGGAGTGGAACCGTTGACCGGAGCTGGACCAGGCACCGGTGGAACGGGCACGGGCCGTGCCGGACTGGAAACACGCACCACAGTTCTGGTGCGAGGAGCAGGTACGGGGCGTACCGGACTGGGAACCGGCGCTGGAGGTCTACGACTGTCTCCGTCCTTTACACTCCGCGCCCCGTCCTCCTCCAGTGAGGACTCCTCTTTGAGCCCCCACGAGTGCAGTGGTCAGGGCTCCTCTCTGTCGCTCCCCGACCACCCTTTTAGCCCCCCGAAAAAAATGTATTGGGGCTGTCTCTCCTTCTCCACCCTGATTCCTTTCAGGGCCTCCATCTGCTTGGCCAGATCCTCTCTTATTTCCCTCCAAGTCCATACTCTCTGCTCCTCCTGGGCACGCTGCTTGGTCCATTGGTGGTGGGATCTTCTGTCACGTTCGTTCATAGACGGGACGGACCAAGGCGCAGCGTGATATGCATACATTTATTTAAACTTAATAAACACTCAACAAAACAATAAACTAAACTTGACGTGACGTCGGAAGGCTATACACACAAGCCAAACTCACCGAGCACAAAACAAGATCCCACAACACAGGCAGGAAAACTGGCTGCCTAAGTATGATCCCCAATCAGAGACAACGAGCGACAGCTGCCTCTGATTGGGAACCACACCCGGCCAAACATAGAAATACAAACATAGAATCAACACACACATGATATTCACACCCTGACCAAACTAACTAGAGTTCTATAGGTCAGGGCGTGACAACAGGTATGTTTTCAGCAAGTAAGGGCAAGGAAATCAGTTAAACCACAAAATAGAATACTTGAAGGCAGGTTTTATACTAGATTGTATGCACTTTTGGTAATGTAGGTCCCCCAGCCCTGATATGAGAACACCCCAAAAGTTCACCTGAAATTAGCTCAGCTTTTTGTACCTCTTAAGGCAACTGAGTAGTGTGTCATGAGCATCACAATAAAACCGCAGTACGCCAGCATTTTATGCCTCGATATGTTTTCCTTTTGTTTCTACCCGCTTCTGGATAGCTGGCACACAGGCACACAGCTTCAGAGTAGAATCAGATTAGGCAGCAGGCACAGTCGCAGAGCTACCAACCAAACCATGCCCTAGCAACAGACTTAGCAACAGAGGAAAATGACTGCAAGGAAGACACAGGCTAAATGGGGCCAATTACATTTGCAGACAGTTCTGTGTTCTGCATCTTCCGAGAGTGCAATAGGAGGGTTTTCCTCCTGCAACATAACAAAGGTCAATGTTGTTTACTTTGGGAGTGGCCTAGGGCAGTGTGGGGGGAGTGTACCACAGACTGAGACATGGTCAGGTGTGCTCCCATATGAACAAGCGCACGTGAGCCGTTGTCTCTGTGCACATCAGCAGCAATCAATGTCAGGGAAATGCAATCAAGTTTGTGCATTGCTATGCCCAATAGTTGTTATCATGTCATGTCCATACGGTGTTTCAATGCTGATTGAATCTCAGCAGTGCTTGTGAACCTCCTTCTCAAAGAAAAGGTCAAAGAAAATGGACCGAAATGGTGTCGGACTACCTGGACCTGTCAAATAAGAAGCACTAATTTTCGCTTTCCTTTGCAAAATATTTTAAAACATTACATTTTCCATGCAGGCAAATGTGACCCTGGTGATCCCTTAGCAGATAGAGACCAATAAGGGCTGTGGAGGGTTGACAGCCTCAGATTCACAGAGAGGTTTTCATCTATGCCTTGGTAGATAAGATGTACAACAACGGGAGCCGTCTGGCGCTCTGGCTATTGCTGCAACAGCAGCTCTTACAGTCTCACGTCAGAATTAGATGTCCGTCCATGTTTCTCAAGCATGACATTTCGAAGTTGTTCCAAACGTCATATTTTGAAGTGAAACTCAGAATTTTTAAGGTTAGGGCTAAGTTTAGGCATTAACTCCGAACTCTTAAGGTTAGGCATTAACTCCGAATGGCTAAGGTATGGGTTAAGGTGTAAAAAAACAACGTTCTATTGCTAGATTTGAACATGCAATCTTTGGCACCAGAGGCAGATGCTTACCAGAGGCAGATGCTTACCGGAAGCGAATTTGTAAGGCATTAACTCCAAATGGTTAAGGTAAGGGTTAAGGTTTGGGAAAGAAATCTCAAAAACAACTTTCTATAGCAGGATTCAAACATGCAACCTTTGGCACCAGAGGCAGATGCTCACACCCATCCCCCATCCCTGTTCACATCACAAAACATCAACCATAAACCTTCTTGAAGGTAACAGCGCTCACTGTTGCCCCTAGTGGCTGGTTTTGACATCATCTCCTGACGTCCTCGGATATAGATGTGCGTCTAATACTGACTTGTATCACGAGTGACCTGGCTGTGTTGTTCACAATGTTCCTGGCCTTGGTCCTACGGCTGGAACTTATGCAATAAACTGGGTATCAAACACGGGTGTTCTGCACAACTCAAGACTATGTTACCCCACCAAGCTAAAGTCTATAGACCTCAGCTCTGGGAGTTAACATTCATTTTCTGTTCTGCAGGCAAGGTTACTCATCTCTGCTAGTGGTTTGCAGCCGTTTATCTCAATATCAAATCATTTCTGGGTAACAATTAAGTACCATGCTGTGATTGTTTTAAATTAAAATGATAAAAAGAAACAAAAATAGCTTCTTAGCAAAGAGCAATTTCTCAAACAGGAATTTTGCTAGGACTGTCTGGGAGAGTCTGAGTGGGAGGGGAAAACTGAAATGAGCTGTTATTGGCAGAGAGTTTTGGAACACTCTCTGTTATTGGTCTATTAACTAATTTACCGCCTGGTGGTGTCACCAAGCAGGCCAAAACGCCATCCCACCAAAACAGTCTGAAATTTCAGGTGGTCTTTTCAAACAAAAATATTTTTCCACTCTCATATAACGTTCCATAAAGTTGACTGCCCTAAAGTGCACACTCAAGCCAAGCAGGCAGACTAAATACAGATTGAACAGATTGAGGATGCAGTATCGTGAGATAATTCCCAGCTCAGAAATAACCTTACGTCTAAGTGTAATGCAAATAACAAATAAAACCACTTGAATTAAATGAAACCATTATACCCACTCAGTGGGCTTTCATAACTAAATTAGTTATCTTGTTAAAATATGAGCTTGCCATACCCTGCAGATCTGTTCAGCTATTTAGAGTGTGCACTTTAGGTCAGTCAACTGTATGGAGAGTTATATAATCCAATCTCTTCCTCTGAGTGGGTTGACATATGGTATGGCACATAATCATTTATTGAAAGCCATATAAAAACAGAGAAAATAAGCTTATTGACCAGGACATATCGTGTATGTATGTGTAGGTATCGTGTATGGTTTGTGTGTGTGTGTGTGTGTGTGTGTGTGTGTGTGTGTGTGTGTGTGTGTGTGTGTGTGTGTGTGTGTGTGTGTGTGTGTGTGTGTGTGTGTGTGAGCATTCAGGATGATGATAGAAACTATGTGTTTCAAGGTGTCTAATTATCTGTCTTTTGATGATGTTCACAAACGAATACATTACAGTTTCTCCAATAAAACCACATCTGAAAATGTCCAGATCTATAAATTGCTCTGATAGATTTCCCCTAAATCCAACATAGATTATCCATATCAACCTGAACATTATGGTGTGCATAAAATACCCATAAAAGACCCATAACAATGGCAAGGTGTAAAAGCTTTCACTTGCTGTTGGTGGTCGATAACATCCCTTTCAGTGCACTCTAAATACACACATTATTTACAGAGAAAATACAGACAGCTCACATCAGCCAATTTATGATGGCAAAACGTTCCTTAATATCCATATAATATCTGTTTCTGCAAATGCTGACCATGTTTGTCCATGTTTATGTTACAGTATGAGATGTGCTTCATGGTGACTTGGATTAAGGTTATTATAGTTGTTGTTTTGTTTTTCTTACCCGCTCTCCCCCTTTTTAATATCAAAGGTAGGCCTAATATCAAAAGTTTTCCGCCACATGTATGAATTCTTAAGATTGATGGTTTGTCAATGATTTTAGACCATTCCCCCAAAATCCAGCAATGAATGCAAAACATATAGTCTAGCCCATAAGTTTATTGAAATATAGCTACCAAAACATGTTTGTTTTGTCGCTCTTGTAACCCCAGAGGAAAGATATCTAAGCATTTAGGGGGATGGTCGCTCACGGGATTATCGTAATACGCAGTTGAAATCAGTGGCGCTGTCCACTGTCTCGTGGTGCTGAATATGATCAAGGGCTGTATGAGTCCAAACTTAACCTGGCCCTCTTTTCAACCATCCCCACCTTTAACATTTGGTTAGTGCGCAGTAGCTTAACTAAATTAAATGTATTTTACAATCATAATTTCGGACTTAACTGAATACAACAATATGTCGATGGATAGCAAATTGTGATAAGAAATGGGAAAGTAAACAACATCATAGGCCAGCTAGAAATCAGAATGACATGCTTTTCTTTTTTTCCTATTCCTATTTTTTTTCAAAAATGTTGTCATCAAGCTATTTACATAAACATATAAGTCTACTTGCCTGGATGTTTGGTGTTGATTCCTCCAGTCGCAAAGGATGCGCGTGTAGCCTAAATCACGAACACAACAACGAGTCCCGCGTTACTCCAGTGTTCCTCACGAGTCTGACTGTCGAGCCCATCCCACTCTGTGTTTTGAGATGTGGAAATGACACTGTGCACACAGGATTGGACGAGGACCAGTGACAGCGCGCGCTCGAAGTCAAATATGACCAATGTCCCAACCGTGTTGGGTTACATAACGCAGACATGATTGTTCTGTCCTGAAATTGTTGACTCATTCCTTCAATATTTAAAGACATATCTGGCTGCCAATTAAGCCTATAATAACGCGCAGATTATAAAATAGCCTACTTCCGCCTGCCATAGCCTATGTAGCGAGATTTTATTTTGTTCCCCCAAAATGACACAGACACTAAGAGCAGGATGTGTGACAACAACAAATTCATGAAATAACAACAAATATCTAAATTTTAAACAATATACTGGCAATATGCTGGCGCGCAGCAGGCTTTTCCTGTCCATGGTGCTGAAGTCACTGGGTGTGGCCAGGAATTGAGCAGTTGCGTCATTAGGCCTGGGCTTCCGGGGCTTCATCCCCGGATGTTTTTGCTCCAGCCCCCAACCTTCTTACATTTCAGTCTGATATGAGTTTCCATAACCACACATCACTTGCTATGCAGTATTTATAAGAAAACGTTTTACTAACACACTTTTATGACAAAAATAAACAATACAATATAAGGCACTGAAAGAAGCCCCTGGAAAGACACAGTGCCTGCTGTGATTGATCGAGATTTCACATCGCAGCGGACCACTCACGTCCCTTGTCCCCTCGCCCACCCCTACAGCACAGGTTAGATGTCAATGTCATCACTCAGCAAAACGCCTGTCACTCAGAGTCTGGATATTCTGAACTTCTTTCCTGAAAGAGTGCAAGCAGGTTGAGCAGGTTGAGGCATCAGTGAATGAGGTGGAGAGGGCAGAACAGCCAGAAAGTCAAAGTGCAGCAGCAGCAGCAGAGTTAGCCACAGGTTTGTGCAGGGTTGGTGGTAGCTAACTAGCTTGTCTCCCTCAGCATAAGGGTTGGCTAATGCTAATAAACTAGCATTAGCGCTCAGCATCCTTAAGCTATTGGGTGTCAGTCAGAGTTACTTAACAGTATATTTAATGAATGGGCAAGCAAAGGATGTTGATGTCATGATATTAGGAAAAGTGTTTATTTTCAGCGAGTGTATTTGATGGGTTTTGTTTCTGTACCTAGCTTGGCTGGCTAGACACTTCGGTAGCTACTGGCTGGTTTTCATGGTTCGGGCTAGGCCCCTTAGTTCCAGTGAAGGGAAATCTTAACGCTACAGCATACAATGACATTCTAGACGATTCTGTGCTTCCAACTTTGAGGCAACAGTTTGGGGAAGGCCCTTTCCTGTTTCAGCATGACAATGCCCCCGTGCACAAAGCGAGGTCCATACAGAAATGGTTTGTCGAGATCGGTGTGGAAGAACTTGACTGGCCTGCCCAGAGCCCTGACCTCAACCCCATCGAACACCTTTGGGATTAACGCCGACTGTGAGCCAGGCCTAATCGCCCAACATCAGTGCCCAACCTCACTAATGGTTTTGTGGCTGAATGGAAATAAGTCCCTGCAGCAATGTTCCAACATCTAGTGGAAAGCCTTCCCAGAAGAGTGGAGGCTGTTATAGCAGCAAAGGGGGGTGAATACTTTCGCAAGCCACTGTAGGCCCTTAAGTTATGCAATCTAAAAAATCTCACATTAGCTGGTAGAACTGACGAAATTCAATGAATAATAGAGGTCTTATAACTTATTCCATTGTACAGGTCCATTCTTTGGCTCATGTCTCTTTATATTCATATACAGTACATTTGGAAAGTATTCAGACCCTTTGACTTTTTCCACATTTTGTTACGTTACAGCCTTATTCTAAAATAGATTAAATTGTTTTTTTCCCTCATCAATCTACACACAATACCCCATAATTTACGTAAGCATTCAGACCCTTTACTCAGCACTTTGTTGAAGCGCCTTTGGCAGCGATTACAGCCTTGAGTCTTCTTGGGTATGACGCTACAAGCTTGGCACACATGTATTTGGGGAGTTTCTCCCATTCTTCTCTGCAGATCCTGTCAAGCTCTGTCAGGTTGGATGGGGAGCGTCGCTGCACAGCTATTTTCAGGTCTCTCCAGAGATGTTCGATCGGGTTCAAGTCTGGGCTCTGGCTGGGCCACTCAAGGACATTCAGAGCCACTCCTGCGTTGTCTTGGCTGTGTGCTTAGGGTCGTTGTCCTGTTGGAAGGTGAACCTGTGCGCCAGTCTGAGGTCCTGAGTGCTCTGGAGCAGGTTTTCATCTAGGATCTCTCTGTGCTTTGCTCATCTTTCCCTCGATCCTGACTAGTCTCTCAGTCCCTGCCGCTGAAAAACATCCCCACAGCATGATGCTGCCACCACCATGCTTCAACGTAGGGATGGTTTCCTCCAGACGTGATGCTTGGCATTCAGGCCAAAGACTTCAATCTTGCTTTCATCAGACCAGAGAATCTTGTTTCTCATGGTCTGAGAGTCCTTTAGGTGCCTTCTGGCAAACTCCAAGCGTGCTGTCATGTGCCTTTTACTGAGGAGTGGCTTCCGTCTGGCCACTCTACCATAAAGGCCTGATTGGTGGAGTGCTGCAGAGATGGTTGTCCTCCTGGAAGGTTCTCCCATCTCCACAGAGGAACTCTGGAGCTCTGTCAGAGTGACCATTGGGTTGCTCACCTCCCTGACCAAGGCCCTTCTCCCTCGATTGCTCAGTTTGGCCGGGCGGCCAGCTCTAGGAAGAGTCTTGGTGGTTCCAAACTTCTTCCATTTAAGAATGATGGAGGCCACTGTGTTCTTTTTTTGGTACCCGTCCCCAGATCTGTGCCTCGAAACAATCCTGTCTCAGAGCTCTATGGAGAATTCCTTTGACCTCATGGCTTGGTTTTGCTCTGACATGCACTGTCAACTGTGGGACCTTATATAGACAGGTGTGTGCCTTTCCAAATCATGTCCAGTCAATTTAATTTACCACAGGTGGACTCCATTCAGGTTGTAGAAACATCTCGAGGATGATCAATGGAAACAGGATGCACCTGATCTCAATTTCGAGTCTCATAGCAAAGGAATACTTATGTAAATAAGGTATTTCTGTTTTTATTTTTGATAAATTAGCAAACATTTCTAAAAACCTGTTTTCACTTTTTCATTATGGGGTATTGTGTGTAGATTGATGAGGACTTTTTTTTATTTCATCCATTTTAGAATAAGACTGTAACGTAACAAAATGTGAAAACTGGGAAGGAGTCTGAATACTTTCAGAATGCACTGCCTAAGGCAGGGATGGGCAACTCCAGTCCTCGGGGGCCTGATTGGTGTCACACTTTTGCCCCAGGCCCAGCTCACAAACCTGACTCCAATAATCAACTAATCATGATCTTCAGTTCAGAATGCATTTAGTTTAATCAGCTGTGATTGCTAGGAATGGGGGAAAAGTGTGACACCACTCCGGCCCCTGAAGACTGGAGTTGCCCATCCCTGGCCTAGGGGCTATGTAGCTTCTTATCTGTAATGTTTGGAGTTGTGTTGCGCTATTATGCAGACACTTGAATTTTTCTTTACAGTTGAGTTGCCCTGGTCGTAACTTTAAACTAACTTTAAATAGCAATTGCCCCTAAACAGATATGAGTCTGAAACATTTATTATCCTGTCAAAATTGACTACAAAGTGTAAATAGGATAATTTGTCATAAAAGTCAGTCTCGTCCAAAACTGAGTTTTGTGAGACTTGTGGTCGTGACCCCCCTTTGCAGCAATTACAGCTGCAAGTCTCTTGGCCTATGTCTCTATAAGCTTGGCACATCTAGCCACTGGGATTTTTGCCCATTCTTCAAGGTAAAACTGCTCCAGCTCCTTCAAGTTGGATGGGTTCCGCTGGTGTACAGCAATCTTTAAGTCATACCACATATTCTCAATTGGATTGAGGTATGGGCTTTAACTAGGCCATTCCAAGACATTTAAATGTTTCCCCTTAAACCACTCGAGTGTTGCTTTAGCAGTATGCTTAGGGTCACTGTCCTGCTGGAAGGTGAACCTCCGTCCCAGTCTCAAATCTCTGGAAGACTGAAACAGGTTTCCCTCAAGAATTTCCCTGTATTTAGCGCCATCCATCATTCCTTCAATTCTGACCAGTTTCCCAGTCCCTGCCGACATCCACCAAACGGCACTCAGCCTCTCCTCCATTCATAGCCAAACTCTCTACCTACCTACCTGAGGAGCATTTTAAGGCCTTATAGAAATTTATAGATGATGGATTTTATTTCTATTTTTAATTCAGAGCAAACCGATTGGAATGGCCACAATGCTTCACTGTGGGGATGGTGTTCTCGGGGTGATGAGAGGTGTTGGGTTTGCGCCAGACATAGCGTTTTCCTTGATGGCCAAAAATCTCAATTTTAGTCTCATCTGACCAGAGTACCTTCTTCCATATGTTTGGGGAGACTCCCACATGCCTTTTGGCGAACACCAAACGTGTTTGCTTATTTTTTTCTCTAAGCAATGGCTTTTTTCTGGCCACTCTTCCGTAAAGCCTTAGCTCTGTGGAGTGTACGGCTTAAAGTGGTCCTATGGACAGATACTCCAATCTCGGCTGTGGAGCTTTGCAGCTCCTTCAGGGTTATCTTTGGTCTCTTTGTTGTCTCTCTGATTAATGCCCTTCTTGCCTGGTCCGTGAGTTTTGGTGGGTGGCCCTCTCTTGGCAGGTTTGTTGTGGTGCCATATTCTTTCAATTTTTTTAAATAATGGATTTAATGGTGCTCCGTGGGATGTTCAAAGTTTCAGATATTTTTTTATAAACCAACCCTGATCTGTACTTCTCCACGACTTTGTCCCTGACCTGTTTGGAGAGCTCCTTGGTCTTCATGGTGCCGCTTGCTTGGTGGTGCCCCTTGCTTAGTGGTGTTGGAGACTGGAGCCTTTCAGAACATGTGACAGATCATGTGACACTTAGATTGCACACAGGTGGACTTTATTTAACTAATTATGTGACTTCTGAAGGTAATTGGTTGCACCAGATCTTATTTATTGGCTTCATAGCAAAGGGGGTGAATAAATATGCAATCACCACTTTTCCATTATTTATTTTTTAGAATGTTTTGAAACAAGTTATTTTTTTCATTTCACTTCACCAATTTGGACTATTTTGTGTATGTCCATTACATGAAATCCAAATAAAAATCAATTTAAATTACAGGTTGTAATGCAACAAAATAGGAACAATTTGGGCCTTCCTCTTACACCGCCTAGTATATAATGGGGGCGTGTTCGCCCTCCTTTTCCTGTAGTCAATGATCAGCTCCTTTGTCTTGCTCACGTTGAGGGAGAGAGGTTGTTGTCCTGGCACCACACTGACAGGTCTCTGACCTCCTCCATATAGGCTGTCTCATCATTGTCGGTGATCAGGCCTACCACTGTTGTGTCATCAGCAAACTTAATGATGGTGTTGGAGTTGTGCTTGGCCACGCAGTCATGGGTGAACAGGGAGTACAGGAGGGAACTAAGCACGCACCCCTGAGGGGCCCCTGTGTTGAGGATCAGCGTGGCAGATGTGTTGTTGCCTACCCTTACCACCTGGGGGCGGCCCGTCAGGAAGTCCAGGATCCAGTTGCAAAGGGAGGTATTTAGTCCCAGGATCCTTAGCTTAGTGGGCACTATGGTGTTGAACACTGAGCGAAGAGGGCATAAAGAAATTCTGTGGTTGTGTTTATTAAATATTTGTTTTGCCTAAGCAGATTTCAAATGAAAATATTGCTTTTTCTGAAAATTTTATTGAATTTCTGTAACTGTTTTAAAATAAAGTAATACAAATACAATACTACAATCTCATTATCAGTTACAGGTGGGTTTTTCTTACTGTGCTCTTCCACAATTTATGGTAAAGCATAAAAGTATTAATTGGTCCTCTGTAGCTCAGCTGGTAGAGCACGGCGCTTGTAACGCCAAGGTAGTGGGTTCGATCCCCGGGACCACCCATACACAAAAAAAAATGTATGCACGCATGACTGTAAGTCGCTTTGGATAAAAGCGTCTGCTAAATGGCATATTATTATTATGTTATTTCTTACAACATTCTAGTCAGCATCACAGATAGCCTTCCATCCTCTTACAAAGAGAAATAACTGACCATCAGAGATTTTCTGTACTCCAATTTTCTATGAAAATAATATAAAAATGTTGGGTAATTTGAGGCACTTTTGAAGCCTAGTTTATAGAAAACCATAGTCTTGTATTGTAGAGTATTGTAGTGTTCCCTTAAAATGACGTCACAGACTACTCCTCTACAATTTTACCTGCACAGTTCTGCCGGCGCAGTGGCTGCTGTAAGTAACTCTGAGGTTGGCGGAATGAGTTGAGGAGCTCTGTGTAGCGCTGCACGGGTGTCCGCAATAGTTTGAACATTCGAAGTTGCATCAATCCTTCTGTGTTATAACGCACTACATTCGCAGTTTGATGAATGTATGCACTAAAACTGTACGCTCTGATACAGCGTCGCTAATGACTAATTGAATATTTTTGTCATTGTGAATGAAATCCGCATAGAGAAATTCTGTGGTTGTGTTTATCAAATCTTGTTTTTGCCTAAGCAAATTTAAAAATACATTATTGCTTTTTCAAAAAATATATATTGCATTTCTGTAACTGTTTTAAAATAAACAAATACAAATACAATACTACAATCTGTACTCCGACTTTCTATTAAAATATTGTCAAATCTGAGGGTAATTTGAAGCACTTGAAGCCTAGTTTATAGAAACTATAGTCTTTAGTTATTCTCGTTGACTTTGCAAAGGATCGTTAGCGTTCCTTTGAAATGACGTCACACACTACTCCCCTTAACACCTTTACCTGCAGCTGAGTTTCGTGCTTTGCGCGGTGGCTCATGCCTGTAACCCAAGTCACCGGGAGGCTGAGGTTGGCGCATTGTGTGAGCTGAGGCGCTCTATGTCAGCACTAAATTCAGTATCGATATGGTGCTCCTGGGGGAGCCCGGGCTCACCAGGTCGTCTAAGGAGGGGTGCACTGCCCCAGGTCGGAAACGAAGCAGGTCAAAGCCCCGGTGCCGTCCAGTAGTAGGATAGCGCCTGTGAGTAGACTCTGCAGTGCAGCCTTCGCAAGACATCAAAACCCAATCTGTATCAAAAGCTGCTCTATGGTGAGAATTGCTTCTACAAAATGTTTAGCAGACCAAGAAAAAAATGTCAACAGTAACCATTCGACCAAATTGATGAGGTTCTTCTGAGAATTATACTGACTCCTACTGACGAAAGAAATGAATAACATAATGCAGCAGGGCCCGTTGAGAGCTAAATTAATTTGAGGACAAGTAACTGCCAAACCTCTCCAAACCCAATGTTCAGATTGTAGAGATAATCAGAGGGAGGCTGTCAAAGAGGTGGGGGATACTGTGTTGCTTCACAGCAGTGGCCAGAACATTCAAGTAGGCTTCCCCTGTGACCAACGGCTAGTTAAGTGTGTGAGACATCTAAGGCCTATTCACATTTGGAATAAAATACTGACCCTGTCCATGTGTCTTAGAGTAAATTTAAAGAGTGAATGCTCCATGTCAAAGCCACAGACATCAGGAGAAGGTGGTGGACAAATGCTGCCCTCTGCTGAAGAGTACTGCTACACAATGGAAGAGCAAATAATGCTATTTTATGGACTGGTTTAATCATGTTTATTCCTCCACATGCCAATTTATAGAAATGCAAATAGATAATGTGAATGATTAGATACGTACGTTTTTAGATACATTTAATAAATACATTTAAACGTTTTAAACCCTAATTTAAAACCTCAAATACGCCATATAGATAAAAGCTAAAACGTGACATACTACAAGAAATCAGCACCAGAAATTGATTTTGTGGAGTTTTTCAAAAACAGCTAGGTATTTGTTGGGTGAATCCTCTGGATCCAGTCTTACCCAACTGTCATTAGAAATAGGGCCTGCGTAGACATAGGCTATAGTCCTAAACATACACAGAGTAAAAACTATGGCAGACACATAATTAGTGAATGCAACAACAGCTGCATGCATTACAAATCACTGTGAAGTTGTTTCCTGTCTCAAACTATTTTAAATCTTATCACTGTGAAGGACCTTGTCCGTTTGTTGACCTATTAACACCACAGTTAGTTAATATGTTACTGGCAAGGTCTATGCACACATCTTATCTCTGACTAAACAATTCAAGAGTGGAGATTTCCACAAGGGATTTTCATTAAGTCCTTTATCTGGAGACATGATGGCCTTATCATGAACTGAATGACACATTTTTGAGGAGACATTATTATAATGTCTTCATCAAGTGGGCCTAGATATTCAGAGAAGCATGGGTCGTATGATTTTGAATCCACTTGTAGTTCATGGCAATGCCATTGGAGGTCGGTAGAGTACAGCAAAAAGAGAGGCTGAATAGCGTAATGAATAGTGTTTTTCTTGCTATTTATTTTCTTGAATGGAACGCATTCTCTTCAGTACTTTCAGAATCCATTGATACCCTCGTGGACATTGGCCAGTTTGGTTTACGTACAGAAATACAAAATCTATAACTGAGGTCCTTGGTCTTGAAAAGTCAAAATTGCACCTGTGAACATATTTAGGGATGTAGACCATCGCCCCAAATAGCTGAACTATTGCTAAGGTGTTTTTAAAGTAAAACTAAAATGGCCCCAAAACCTTTGCATGTTTGAAATAAATCACGGGTCTTCATGTTTTCATGCGTAAAAGTTTATAGGGGGTCTTAGATAATTGGTTACATTCATCAATATAGGCCAATAGGCTACTCTCTCAGCTGGTAAGGAACATTCCATGACCTCCACTCTGTTGAAATCTTTGTCCACCTCTTGACCTTTGTCAACGTGTTATTGTACCTTTAAACTTGGCATCCTGTGGCGTTACTTATGGCGGTGAGAAACGACTCCTCGGCCGTCGGAGATGTCTCCTCCGTCTCAACGTCCATAGAAAGACTGGGAAAAGTTCTCCAATAAGTAGGCTACATGAGCGTCTGCAAGTGGGCGTGTTTCTCTGTTGATTCAACAGTCTCCGCTCTTGTGTGAAGTCGAGGGCGCGAACGCACTTTTCTGGTGAGACCGGAACGCAGAAGTCTAGGTCTGACGCGCAGTCTATCTTCAGCCCTTGCTGTCTAAAATCGCTTCATTGTGTAGAGGGCTTCGAAACATCTTTGGGACACTACCACCATGGACGCATTTCAAGTATTATCGTTATATTTGTTACTCATCTTCATTTGGAATATACCATGTTTTCAGTCAGCTGCCATCATATCTCCCTCTGTGCCAAGGAGAAACAAGGGAGCCAAGATCCTTCATGATGGACAAAGGTCAACCAAATTTCTCAAAGAGATCTTCGCATCTTCTCCTATCTTAAGCCATCACCAAGAAGACTTTAATAAGGACGCAATTGTGCCCCACGATTACATGCTCTCCATATACAGGACGTATTCGGCTGCAGAGAGACTCGGACTAAACGCAAGTTTTTTCCGCTCCTCAAAGTCTGCAAACACCATAACAAGTTTTGTGGACAGAGGAACAGGTTGGTCTCAACTAAAATGACTTAGCTATGTAACCTACTACCGTTGCATACGACCAATTGAGAATGTTGCTACATTTGTTCTAGATTTGCACACATCGCTGCAGCCATTGTATGCATTTTTAAATCAAAAAAACAAAAACAGTCGCATAAACTATTCATTTTACAATGGCTCTCTTAATGAAGGAAATGCCGGAGTTGAGTTGAAATGTTGAAAAATGGTGTTCCTGTTCTGCTCTTGTGCTGTAAAGAGTGCCATAAAATAAAATAACCACATCAAAATAGAGTGTGCTGGCCTATCAGTCGATGGCGCATGTTTAGAGATGATCCAATCTAAATATGTAACAGTTTGAGTTGTAAAATGTCCTATTAATTAATGCATAAAACGATATATCACAAGCTAAAGTTCAATTATCTTGTCAGCCTCAAAGTTGTATAAGTTGCACTAGAACTTTATCACCATTTATGAGGGACGCATTACGTTTTGTTGTCGCATTCAGTTCCCTTTGAGCCCTTGGGACACATTTTAAAGAGCCATAGGAGTACGTCAGTTTTGTAAAATATAAAGTTATATTAGACATACATTGACCCCCAGGTAACACGACAATAAAACACTAATTGAGGCCCTATCTAAATGAAGGTAGTAAATCATTCTCTATGGGTCCCCGCGTGCACCAAACCCATCCTGTTCAAACCTTGCCATGTCGTCAGACTAGACTATCTCAAAACAGGGCCAATTTAGATAATCATAGAAAAAGTTATATTTCCAAAGAACTTGTGCATTAATTTACAAATTGGTGTAGGACTATGTGAATCAGTGAACACGTCAAAGAGGAAATTACAGTTGGCTCACATCAAGATAGGAATTATAAGTTTGTGTTACAGATCATCATGCCATCAGTGCAATCTGTATGGCCAACTCTGTAGTTAATAAACGGATATATTAGAATGGGTTAGGGTGGGCTGCAGGTGATTAGGGACAGTTAACTCTGTAATCAAGTGATTTGGCGGATTTGATTAGACAAACAAAGGCAGATAAACACCAACAAACCGAACACATGTAAGTTTCCTTTATCTTTAGAGGAGAAATACAATCAGTTAACGTCATTGTTGGCATTATTTCCCATCTGTAACATAGAGCTGATTTGGTGAAAAGCCTCACTTTCCCCCTGATTTTGATTTGATGTGTCACTGGCTCTGACCCTTCTCTGGACTCTCTGAGGGTTGCTTAGCATCAAACCGCTGATTGGAGTATTTGAACTCGTGATCTAATTGAGTGTTCATGTCATAACATATCAAACACTGTCTATTCTCCCATAATGACCCAGCTCAGCCAATGGCACATCACCAAAAACGAAGGAAAAAAATGTAAGAACACGTCCTTCGCTATGAAGTGGTTAGTATTTTACCGTGTACCTCCCTGCGCTACCACCACTTTAATTGCTGAAAATATATTTTTCTTCCGTTCTCTCAGCACAGTGGTGGTTTCTGTTAAGATTCTACCAGGCCCTCGAGTGTTGAGTTGTATTGTATAATAGGCTACAACATAATGTTTTTTTTTCACTTTAAAAAGTACGAAAAGTAATACTCAAGAGACAACGTTCGTGCGTAAATATGAATTTTGTGGTTTTTCAGCTATTACGCACAGCTCTTTTTGGAAACACTTGTAAGTGTACGGTGAACTGGACCGATAGACGACATGTTTGTATAAAACTGAAATATTTTTTATTGCGTAGGCTTTCCCCTCTGCAGGTAAAATGAAAACAATTTATGCAAAACAGATTAGGAGTCGTCCCTATGTTCGTTATGGTCGCAAGGTCAGACAAGAATAAACCGAATGTATGAAAATTACTTTTGGCACTTGAAGAAACTCATTAAAACGCAGATGGTGCTCGCTGGCCTTGGAAGCCACAGCACTAGAAGTCTCTCTCTCTCTCGCTCTCTCTCTCGCTATCTCCCTCTCTCGCTCTCTCTCTCTCTCTCTCTCTCTTCTGTCTCTCTCTCTCTCTCGCTCCTCTCCTCTTCGCTCTCTTTATCAGTTAGAAAGCCTAATAGATAGACGAAAGCGTAACATCAATGTTATATGTTGTCCATAACCTCAGATAATATGACAATAGGCCTAACATAAGCGGATGATGCCTTATCGTTCATATTTTGGTCAGATTCATATGTAAATTACGCACAGGCTCCATTATGTCCAAATTTTTATAATTTCCAAGCAAATGAGGTGAATCAAAACGGGTCTCTTAATTTGTCGAATCATATCTCAAAATCAACAAACTGCAATGTCAAGTTCTTTAAAACAGATTCCCCCTGTAACTTAAAGTCAGCATAATCAGGCCAAGCACTTTTGAACCGGGAATGTTGTCGTTGGCAAGAGGAGATGAAATATAAGCGGGGAAGTATTTTAATGAGGAAGAGGGGAATTCAGAACTGTTAATTATTTGGTGACCTTGTATTCGATTTGTTTGAGGTCTTATAAAAAACCTTAATGCAGACCATACGTGCAAAGTTACTGAAACAAACACAAGGTTTCAATCTACTTTTACTATTAAACTCTGCAGGGTTCACAGAGGGGGGAAAGTACTGGCAACCAAATTCAAATATCTATTTCGAATAACATCATATTTTTTTGAAATATGGCATCTATGTTGGAGTTATAGATTAATAGCCTACACACCGGGCGCAATTGTTTAGGCCTAGAACAGGCTACCAACAATTGTTGTTTTTATTAAATAACATGTTTTTCAGTGCATTTAATTTGATGGACAAATGGTAAGCGGAATCACATTTGATGGATATTTCAGAACACAACAGGTTTATCTGTCTTATGTAGGCCTAGTATATTCCTGTTATTATGAATGCTAAAGAAAATCGCATTTTGTTTGGGCAAATACTTTTTTCATGGTAGCCATAAAAGTAAAACAGATTCGTTTTTACTTCAGCCTATTTGAGCATTTCCCCTATTATGCATATGTATAATTATATTTGACTGATAAAATATTACGAAAATCTAAATTTCTCGTAAGTAATCGAAAAATCTTTAGAAAACGGTGTTTTAAAAAGCTATAATGTATTTTATGAAACCTTGGGGTTTAGGTATAAAAAACACTGCATACCGCAGGTAAACCCTTTACAGCAGAAATGTAAAATATTCTAACTTATATGAGAGCACATTGCTTCGATGGGATCAAATATGTGTGGCCTAGGCCTCGTGGGTCTCGAGCAGGGAATAATGTATTAATTGTGTATTGTTCAGTTGAGTGTACAGTGGCCTATGTCGCCTTTGGTCGGTTGAGTCTGGCAGAATCCCCTCCCGTCATGTCACTAGGCACCTAGTTTCTATGCTCCACAACTTTGATAATTGTTTCAGAAATTATTTTTTCCAAGCAAAGAATAATTAATAAACTTGTTTGATATAATATTCACAAATTTAACCAGGCTCTTCGTTTAGTGATGATAGGCATACATTGAAAAAGCAAAGTATTCTCAGAAGTGTGATTCATTTGGGGTGTTATTAGAAAACAATAGCCTAATAACCATTAACCATTTAAAATTAATGATAAGATTCAATTGACAATTCAATTGAAGTTTGTTTCCGAATTTCACATTTCTCCCCATAAGAATTAAAATACATAGGCTATATTTCGATTCTGTTCTAATAATATAAAGTGACATCAATTAAAGTACAGGGCAAAATTATAGGATTATAGGCTACTGAACGGTATTTTGCACATCGAAAATGTATAAAAGCCTAATCCAAAAGGACAATGTGGTACAGAGAGAGAGAGAGAGAGAGAAATATGTAATTGCCAGCTGTTGTTTTATGATCATAGGCTTAGCTTACAATATTCAGGCGACTGTCTCAACAATTATAGCTTAGTAACATGGAAATACATTTGATTCAGACAGTCGACACCTCGTCATATTAGGCCTAATGGGCAAAACTAAATAATTGATTATTATGGTAGCTGTTTTGCTAAGTTTGCATCTGTTGATTATTGATGTTAAGAATGAAGATGGTTATTATACAGTACCAAAATGCTAATGCACTCTTTCTGCTCAGAAATGATATCAAGTAGCCTATGATGTTAACCATGAGACCTTTTTATTTAATTTGATGACGTGTCAATCGTAGTTTGTCTCAGCTCGACTTTCGAGTGGGCACTGAAAAACAAGAAAGAAGGCCAGTGGATCTGGCCTCTTTGTGAGAATGTGAACCCTCCTCCTCCCCCCCTCTCCCTCTCCTGAACACTGTACACCCTAAGTGAATCTGACTGCAATTATTTCTTTTTATCTTGCAGACGATCTCTTGCACTCTCCTTTGCGAAGACAAAAGTATCTGTTTGATGTCTCAACCCTTTCAGACAAAGAGGAGTTGGTTGGAGCTGAATTAAGGATATTTAGAAAAGTGCCCGGGGATTTGCAAACGTCCCCGACAGGTCTCTATGACATTCAATTACTCTCCTGTCGATCAGAACGGCTACTGGATTCCAGATCCCTTGATCCTCTGGATTCCCGAAAACCAGGATGGGAGGTTTTGGACGTGTGGGAAATGTTTAAAAACCGGCATCACTCTGATCAGGGGAGCCAGCTTTGTCTCCAGCTCAAGGGCACTCTTAGTAAATCAGAAATGGAAATCGATTTAAAACAGATGGGATTTGACAGAACCGGCCGAACCCAGCAAGAGAAGGCCATCTTGGTGGTTTACACCAGGTCCAAGAAAAGGGAGAACCTGTTCAACGAAATGAAAGAGAAGATCAAGTCGCGTGGATCAGGGAGCAGGTCGGAGGAGGAGAGGGGCCTGCAGTTCAAAGCCAGGCGCCGTCGGAGGACTGCATTGAACAATCGGCATGGGAAAAGACATGGCAAAAAGTCAAAATCTAGATGCAGCAAAAAGGCTCTGCACGTTAATTTTAAAGAGCTAGGGTGGGATGACTGGATCATTGCGCCATTGGATTATGAGGCGTACCACTGCGAGGGCGTGTGCGACTTCCCTTTGAGATCGCATTTAGAGCCGACAAACCATGCCATCATTCAAACTCTCATGAATTCAATGGACCCCAATAGCACACCTCCCAGCTGTTGCGTTCCCACCAAACTAAGTCCCATCAGCATTCTTTACATAGACTCGGGTAATAACGTTGTGTACAAACAGTACGAGGACATGGTGGTAGAGCAGTGTGGCTGCAGGTAGCGTTCCTATTCTACTGCGACACTTTAAAGTATTTAAACCCCGTAAAATCAAAGATATGTCAGTCGGTCCAGGTCAGAATATGAAAGCTGTGGCATATCTGAAGCATATAGACCCATGCCTTGGTGCGCCTAAACTTCACTCAAAAGGGATCCGCGAGAGAAATTATTTGTAGTGTGGGCCTATGCAAGCATATTTATTTTGGTCAAATTTAAACTCAGTACAATCTCACATAGCCTTAGCTGTCCAATTGTTGTGTTAAACTAATACATACTCCTAGCCTACTTTTCCATCCGTCTGATATGTTTTTCAGTGGCATAGTCTATTGTTTTGCCAGGCCCCGACATGGATAGACAGGTCGTCATAAACCATTAGTCCGCAGGAGAGGAGTGGGTATCAACATGCTAGTGATAGGCTATTATTTGTTAATGCCTGAGCAGGCTTGGAATTGTTGGTCTTCCATCAGTGGACTGCGTCCGAAATGTGCACAGTGGAATGCACCTGTTCAAACTAGGCCGCAGTCACAGGATAGCCCTTGTGCATTGTTGCAGCTCCCTTCAACAGTCTTGCAAAGAGGACTCATTTGTAGCGGGTGTTTCCAGGCTCACTGCCAGTGTCCAGCAGAAACTATCGAGCTCTTCTGATGCGTAATCGGCCCTAGCCCCCCCCCCCCCCCCCCCCCCCCTCTCTCTCTGTCTCTCTCTCTCCAAAATGTGAATGTAATCTACCAAACACACAATGGGCTCTGAGGAAAAGAGATAGCGCAGGTATGCCTACAAGAGATTTCCCTGTGCGCCCTGCTTCATCGGAATGGAGTGCGCGCTCGAGTCACCACAGCCGGGGGGAAACGAATGCAAGAGACGATTATAAACATGGGCTCAATGGACATAGACATTCGTATTGTGGCTGCCATTGACAGCTGACTGTATCTCGATGACTTGCTGAAGGCACAGTGAAAGGCAGTTGGACCCGGTTGCGCACAGGAGCACGTGGGGACACCAGAGGCCACGTTAAATAATCAAGACAAACATTTGCATCTTCAACGTCTGCATCTTTACGAAAGGCACTTCAACAACTGACTGCGCCAATTGCATGTAGTCAGGAAGAACGCCTTTTTCACGATACATCGACTGACCAGAAAAGACTCGCAAACGAGATGATATTTAAATGCACATTAGCTTTGAATGCACTGCTGTTCATTATTTGAGCTGTAAATATTTGTATAGTTAAAACTTTACAAGTGCACCGAATGAAGAAATGACAAAATGCATTTCTTTGTAAATGTACATACTTTAAATGCACTCAAATCGTTATAATATCTATTCTATAATAATTTTATTAATTGTGATGTACAGAGTTTCATGATAATCATATATTTCTTACACTGATAAGAGTAATTTAAGCTGTATAAAAACATTTGAGGGTGGAAATACCATTATTGATGTCTACCTCATAATTACCTAGGTTCTGAGTTCTGAGGTGCATTCAACTGTGTTAAGTTCTTTTTAAATGATATATGAAATTATACGATTATATAGGCCTACATATATATATATATATATATATATATATATATATATATATATATATATATATATATATTAATGGATATTATTCCACACTATTACTGTACTAATAAAGTGAAGAAAAAAACATCCAACACTCTTGTGCTTTGGATGACTCAACTCCCCCTTGAATTTCCCAGAGCTGATCCTCTGTGACAGAGAGAAAATATAGTTTTTAAGTGATTTATAACTCTGCTTGTTTCCAATGAAGTTACAGATATGAACCACACTAATTAGAGTACCTAACGTTATTGGAAGTATCATGCTTAATCAAGTGGTCTACAAGGATTTTATTTGAATAATGGGAAAAACTCACACTTCAATCAGACCTTTGTGCGATTTTTCATGTTGACCAAAATAAGAAGTGAGAAGAATGTCTCCTTTGATCATTGGATTATATTAACTATGGAAAAATAATCACTTTTTCCCCCCCTTGCTTTCAAAGCCTGTATATACATTGTTCTGTTGCTCAACCCTATCAATGCATATTTCATTAATATCAGTCTTATCGGATCACAATGAATCCATTATGTATTTCCAAATCTTAACCATTAAATGTGCTTGAATTACAAAACTAGCTTTTAGCAAAGCATGGTGTTTTATTTCTAGCAGGGGATACAGGACATTCTACCCATGTAGGATTATAATTAGTGCTGTTGGTTACAGCACCGAAGCTGTTGACTTTGTTGTTTTAGAACTCATGCAGAATAACTCAATGGTGGTGACAATGGAGCTCAGCTTTCTTTAAAAGTTAATGCAATGTAAACAAATCATTCATCTTTATTGGTAGGAGTTGATATAGGCTATGATTGATATAATGGTACTGTGTAGTCCATGAACTTATTGGAAGTCATAGGGCTCTCTGCTTCAAGCCACAGGATAATTTAGTGTTTTCACTAACATGTAAACAGTTCAACCTCCCCTCACAGACAATGAGTGCTATTGTTCAGTGTTTGGCCGACTCAGTGCTATGCTAAAGCTATGTTAACATGTGGTGGCCGTTCAAGTAGAAGGAAATACATTGACTGTCACTGATATGGTACTGAATGGAATGAACCGCAGCTATTTCCCAATGAATTAGCCACCCCCCTGGGTCAAGTTTACTTAACACTTTAATGTTTCCCAATCTGAGGATGAAAAAAGTTTGAAAGCAGGGATTGCTTCCATATAGGCTATCGACCTTGGCCTGGAAACAATTAGGAAATGGCTTTGAAATGTTATACGTTGTCCAGGCTCTTGTACAGTATCATGTCACTCCCCACATGGTTGCTGGGGGAAAGAGAGGACACTAAGTGCACTCTTTAGCTGCCCCTGCAAATGACTGACACAACAACCACTCCCCTGAGCATAACCAAATGGCCATTCAGGCTATGTCTGTGTGTCAGCATTGAATAGCATCAGGATGCTATGTGGCTAATGCTAGGCCCACTAACTAACTCCTCTCAAGTGGAGTGCGTTGGTGATACCCATAGCATGGTGATACCTTACTAGCAGACGTGCAGTGCAAGTGGAAAAGAGGAAAGAGACAGGTCTGAAGGGAAAGACAGAAAGTGTGTGACAGGTTGACTGCCATTAGTCAAATGTCCTCTATGCTCTTACCTTAACTGTGAGATTGCGTACACTGCTTCTGTGACAAATGAGGGCTTGGAATTTCAATTCCCCTTACATTTTAGGTCCCTTTCTTTTATTGGATACAGTGATATCTCTGGTTTGGACACTGGGTTGATGGAGGAAGTTTTGAGAATGTGTATATGCCGATGAAAAGGAAGGAATGCTTTAGTTTAGTCTTCTCAATCATTCATTCTTTAGCTTTAATGGTCTCATAAAGAATAACATGTTCGTCCTCATAGTTGCATAATTGTCTTAGTCACCATTATGGGGAAGCCATTCCGAGAGAGTGCTTTGTTTAACATTTCTATCTAATATATTTATTTAACCAATGTTGTATTGGCAAAACCACAGCTCCTTTTCATCAGAATATGTGGAGAATGTTTAACACAAATAGCTTTGACACCCCATATCTGTGGACCACTGAGTTGCCTGCCTCTTCATGGTCCATAATGATGCATGATAACACAGTCAAGATCTACAATGTGCTTCTCCAAACCATCCGGGAGTCTCTCCAAAGTCTAAAAACACAAGTTGGCTCCTATAGAGACAGACATTTCCCCACTGTTATCAGTGATGTCCTCATAAACTGTGCAGTGAGGAGATAAATCAAACTTAACATTTAGGCTGCAAGCTACTTTTCAGCGAGTATATAGGGAAATGGGCATATTGAAATATGATTAGATTTATTGTTAGGTATGAGAACTCTCATTGTGATTTGATGAATGGCTGCGTTTGGGATGCAGGGAAAGGGAATGCTTGGACATGGCAAAGGCCTGAACTGAAACTGGTCATGAATCTATCGATGACGTCAAATTGGAATTTCTTTATCAAGGATTTTCAGTGTCTGTTTCTCCTCTTAGAGATTTTTGTTTATCTCTGGAAAGAGATCCTTCCTTATTTCCTTTTCAATTCCTTGCATCTAATAGAGCCTGGCTGTGTTGTGGCTCATTCCCCCACCTCCCCCTTCAATCCACAGGCCAGTGCAAGGTGGTTTCTTTCCAGAACGTGTGCGCTGGTTTAGAGTGTACAAGTATATTTGAATGTGAGAGTGAACATGCATGTATAATGTACAATGTGTGTGTGTGTGAGCTTGTGTGTGCTAGAGGACAGAAGGACAGCAGCATACACAGATGGGAAGATGAGTGTTGCAGAGTAGCGGCAGATGCCTGGACTGACCCCCATTGCCACCCTGCATTGAACCACTGGCCTCCACACAAAGGCATGGGCGGATCCAAACATGAAATATACTTGCTTGTGCCTTAATGCCAGAGGTCCCATTTTTTCCATACACCTCTTTTTTTCTGAGGCAGACAGTTGAGTGTGTTAAGCGGGGCAACCAAGAGGGAATGAGAGAGAAAAGAGGATATGAGTGAACCCTTTTCTATCTATCATGATTTTAATCTTTGTATTTCTTACAACCTGCGATTGACTCACATGAGACAGTGATGCTGTAAAGAGAGGTGGTTGCCCTTGGCAGCTGCTCACTAAGTTAAAAAACGGAAAACACAGGAGTAGCATAACAAAGGACTATGGTGTTCCCTCTAATGGGGCATCTGCTGGGCTTCTTTTTTCTCCAGCCCTGCGGAGGTTAGCCAGGACCCTCTGTGGTCCTATGGTAGCCCACCCTACCCCACCATCAGGCCATACGGCGGACACCTCCACTTCCCTGCAGATCACTTGCTAATTGTATTGCCTCACACCCTTTGAGGCCCTCTTTACTTTATTATCTATCCTATCAGAATTTTCCAAATCAAATTGGAGCATGGAGAGGTTTTTGCGGGGGGTGCTGTAAATTGGGGCGTGGGAGGGGCTTTTGGGACACTTGATCCTGGGGAAAGGTTTTAAAACAACAGCACGGACTGAAGACTCCACCAGAAACAGAATGTCGATTGGGTGAGGTTGATGGATCTATATGGGTGCACCTTTCAAGCTCTCGTTTATTTTATCAAGGAATGTCCCAGAGTGCCCTTTCACCTCTCTTCATCTTGTTGCTACTAACCAGGAGTACGTCTCTGATGGTGAACTGTCTTATTGCCAGGAAAGCAATATTTCTTCAAATTGACTGTGTACCAAAGGCTTAAGCATAGGCTTTACCATAGACTATAAGCAATTACGAATAGATGTACCTCACTGAGCGCTTGTCCTGTGTGTGCGTATAGATAGTGTTTTGTGAGGGCATGTGTCTGAGTATCTGTTTGTGAGACTGACTAGTGTCTGTGTGTGTTTGTATGTGAATCTGGATGTGCTGAAGACCAGAGTAAATTTGCTCAGTAACTTTGACAATGCTTATGTTTGGGGGCAAAGCCAGGACATGACCTCCCTGTCAATTCACATCTGTGATGGCAACGGGAGTGGTGGTGGGAGGAGGATGATTGGCCAGGGGGCTGGGCATGCCTTTCATTGGTCAAGACCTCCAGCACATACCATAAGGGGGGCTTGTCCAACCCAACAGTGTGATTTGGAAACCATACATCAGGTAGC